CAAAAAGGTATAACATTTCAAAATCCGACAATATATACCCGAGATATCTAACAAAGAAGTATGAAAAAAGTTTCGATATTCGAACCGACCCCGATTTTGAGAAAAAACGTGATGTAACCACTTGATTTTTGGTCGATTTGGGTCAAATTTTGGATTTTCAATTTACGAGCTCAAAATGGTATAAAATTCCAAAATCGGACCTTATTTGGCGGAGACACTCCGAAAAATCATCAAAAAAGTAGACCTTACAAGAACCAATTGCTTTTTGGTCAACAACTTTTTGTGACCCATCGATATTTAATTTGTTTGAATGCAAATTCATATTAGGGTTCCGTACGAGTTCAAAAAGGTATATCATTTCCAAATCCGACAATATTTGCCCGAGATATCCAACAAAAATTATGAAAAAAGTTTTGATTTTCGAACCGACCCCGATTTTGAGAAAAAACGTGATGTAACCACTTGATTTTTGGTCGATTTGGGTCAAATTTTGGATTTTCAATTTTTTGATGCCAATCGATAGTACTGATCCTTACGGGCTCAAAATAGTATAAAATTCCAAAATCGGACCTTATTTGGCGGAGATACTCCGAAAAATCATCAAAAAAGTAGACTTTACAAGAACCAATTGCTTATTGGTCAACAACTTTTTGTGACCCATCGATATTTAATTTGTTTGAATGCAAATTCATATTAGGGTTCCGTACGAGTTCAAAAAGGTATATCATTTCCAAATCCGACAATATTTGCCCGAGATATCCAACAAAAATTATGAAAAAAGTTTTGATTTTCGAACCGACCCCGATTTTGAGAAAAAACGTGATGTAACCACTTGATTTTTGGTCGATTTGGGTCAAATTTTGGATTTTCAATTTACGAGCTCAAAATGGTATAAAATTCCAAAATCGGACCTTATTTGGCGGAGATACTCCGAAAAATCTTAAAAAAAGTAGACTTTACAAGAACCAATTGCTTTTTGGTCAACAACTTTTTGTGACCCATCGATATTTAATTTGTTTGAATGCAAATTGATATTAGGGTTCCGTACGAGTTCAAAAAGGTATAACATTTCAAAATCCGACAATATATACCCGAGATATCCAACAAAGAAGTATGAAAAAAGTTTCGATTTTCGAACCGACCCCGATTTTGAGAAAAAACGTGATGTAACCACTTGATTTTTGGTCGATTTGGGTCAAATTTTGGATTTTCAATTTACGAGCTCAAAATGGTATAAAATTCCAAAATCGGACCTTATTTGGCGGAGATACTCCGAAAAATCATCAAAAAAGTAGACTTTACAAGAACCAATTGCTTTTTGGTCAACAACTTTTTGTGACCCATCGATATTTAATTTGTTTGAATGCAAATTGATATTAGGGTTCCGTACGAGTTCAAAAAGGTATAACATTTCAAAATCCGACAATATATACCCGAGATATCCAACAAAGAAGTATGAAAAAAGTTTCGATTTTCGAACCGACCCCGATTTTCAGAAAAACGTGATGTAACCACTTGATTTTTGGTCGATTTGGGTCAAATTTTGGATTTTCAATTTTTTGATGCCAATCGATAGTACTGATCCTTACGAGCTCAAAATAGTATAAAATTCCAAAATCGGACCTTATTTGGCGGAGATACTCCGAAAAATCATCAAAAAAGTAGACTTTACAAGAACCAATTGCTTTTTGGTCAACAGCTTTTTGTGACCCATCGATATTTAATTTGTTTGAATGCAAATTCATATAAGGGTTCCGTACGAGTTCAAAAAGGTATAACATTTCAAAATCCGACAATATATACCCGAGATATCCAACAAAGAAGTATGAAAAAAGTTTCGATATTCGAACCGACCCCGATTTTGAGAAAAAACGTGATGTAACCACTTGATTTTTGGTCGATTTGGGTCAAATTTTGGATTTTCAATTTACGAGCTCAAAATGGTATAAAATTCCAAAATCGGACCTTATTTGGCGGAGACACTCCGAAAAATCATCAAAAAAGTAGACTTTACAAGAACCAATTGCTTTTTGGTCAACAACTTTTTGTGACCCATCGATATTTAATTTGTTTGAATGCAAATTGATATTAGGGTTCCGTACGAGTTCAAAAAGGTATAACATTTCAAAATCCGACAATATATACCCGAGATATCCAACAAAGAAGTATGAAAAAAGTTTCGATTTTCGAACCGACCCCGATTTTCAGAAAAACGTGATGTAACCACTTGATTTTTGGTCGATTTGGGTCAAATTTTGGATTTTCAATTTTTTGATGCCAATCGATAGTACTGATCCTTACGAGCTCAAAATAGTATAAAATTCCAAAATCGGACCTTATTTGGCGGAGATACTCCGAAAAATCATCAAAAAAGTAGACTTTACAAGAACCAATTGCTTTTTGGTCAACAACTTTTTGTGACCCATCGATATTTAATTTGTTTGAATGCAAATTGATATTAGGGTTCCGTACGAGTTCAAAAAGGTATAACATTTCAAAATCCGACAATATATACCCGAGATATCCAACAAAGAAGTATGAAAAAAGTTTCGATATTCGAACCGACCCCGATTTTGAGAAAAAACGTGATGTAACCACTTGATTTTTGGTCGATTTGGGTCAAATTTTGGATTTTCAATTTACGAGCTCAAAATGGTATAAAATTCCAAAATCGGACCTTATTTGGCGGAGATACTCCGAAAAATCATCAAAAAAGTAGACTTTACAAGAACCAATTGCTTTTTGGTCAACAACTTTTTGTGACCCATCGATATTTAATTTGTTTGAATGCAAATTCATATAAGGGTTCCGTACGAGTTCAAAAAGGTATAACATTTCAAAATCCGACAATATATACCCGAGATATCCAACAAAGAAGTATGAACAAAGTTTCGATTTTCGAACCGACCCCGATTTTCAGAAAAACGTGATGTAACCACTTGATTTTTGGTCGATTTGGGTCAAATTTTGGATTTTCAATTTTTTGATGCCAATCGATAGTACTGATCCTTACGAGCTCAAAATAGTATAAAATTCCAAAATCGGACCTTATTTGGCGGAGATACTCCGAAAAATCATCAAAAAAGTAGACTTTACAAGAACCAATTGCTTATTGGTCAACAACTTTTTGTGACCCATCGATATTTAATTTGTTTGAATGCAAATTCATATTAGGGTTCCGTACGAGTTCAAAAAGGTATATCATTTCCAAATCCGACAATATTTGCCCGAGATATCCAACAAAAATTATGAAAAAAGTTTTGATTTTCGAACCGACCCCGATTTTGAGAAAAAACGTGATGTAACCACTTGATTTTTGGTCGATTTGGGTCAAATTTTGGATTTTCAATTTACGAGCTCAAAATAGTATAAAATTCCAAAATCGGACCTTATTTGGCGGAGATACTCCGAAAAATCATCAAAAAAGTAGACTTTACAAGAACCAATTGCTTTTTGGTCAACAACTTTTTGTGACCCATCGATATTTAATTTGTTTGAATGCAAATTCATATTAGGGTTCCGTACGAGTTCAAAAAGGTATATCATTTCAAAATCCGACAATAAATACCCGAGATATCCAAAAAAGAAGTATGAAAAAAGTTTTGATTTTCGAACCGACCACGATTTTGAGAAAAAACGTGATGTAACCACTTGATTTTTGGTCGATTTGGGTCAAATTTTGGATTTTCAATTTTTTGATGCCAATCGATAGTACTGATCCTTACGAGCTCAAAATAGTATAAAATTCCAAAATCGGACCTTATTTGGCGGAGATACTCCGAAAAATCATCAAAAAAGTAGACTTTACAAGAACCAATTGCTTTTTGGTCAACAACTTTTTGTGACCCATCGATTTTTAGCTTGTTTGTTAGTCGCTTGTCATTTGGTTATAAGTTCATAAGCTGAATATTGTATTTCATCGATTGTGTGCCAGCATACTTTCAGGATTAAATTTAAAGGATATATCCTGAGTCGTCAACAGCGAATAAAATACCGCAACTCGTTTATTTTACGGCTTTCTTTCAGGATGAGCGTTGAAAGCAAAGGCACAAACCTTACGTTATATAATTAAAAGTACCACGCGAATTGATTACTGCGCAGAATTAAAAGCAAAGACACAAACCATAACCGCTTAGAAATAAAAGTACCACGCGAATGGATATTTGGCACAAGAAATTAGCTGAAAATCAATAAAATCAATGATTGCGCAGCATATTTTCTGGCTGAGTAGCATAAAAGAAGCCGTAACTAATTAAAAATACACATACTTTCAGGCTAAATCGTTAAAGCACGTTTGAACCCTGCTCAAGATTCTTAAAATATAGAGCATTTGTCTAGAATGAGCTCAATTATTTAACAAACATAAGACGGTTAAGGCAAGGATGTCCTTGGGTATCTTGTGCGGACATGTTGCTGCATTGAATATAGCAAAAAATTAACCCTATTGTTGTCTTTCGGGCAGCTGAGACTCCTGGATGCCGCGCTTAACTTGACAGGACCCGAGTCCTTTCGGTTGTATAGTGCATAGACAAATGGCTGTAGCTCGCCATATCGCCATATCCTTGCATTTCGAATCGATTGGCATGCAAGAACATAAAGGATAAGAATTAGACTATTCAACAATTTTCAAAATGTTCATGCCTGGCTTTTATCCGGCGCAAGACGTGTCCTGGCTCGCTGGCAAAAGTGCATCGCGATCGTTTTTTGCCATCTGTAATTTAAAGCTCTGAAAGAAAAGTCGATTGTTTTCTTTATTTTCCCAATCAGTAAAAGACGCAGATTAAATTTGGCTCAAATCAAAGTTTTTAATTCGCAAAAAGAAAAAAAAAAGAAAATACAAATTGTGTTCCGTGTTTCGATGTTGAATGAGAGGGGAGGAGAGGAGAGGGGAGGAGAGGAGAGGAGCCTGTCGTCCTGCGCCGAACCTCAAATATATATATATATATTTATTTATTCGCATTCAAGCAAATACTGCACAAACGATTTGGTTATTAGCGAGATTCGGCTCGGACGTATAACGTTTCCATATATATTTTTTTTTTTTTCAATCTTTTTTTTTAACGCGATTTTATGTGGCCGCGTATAACGCTTCCATACACAATCGATTTTCTTAATTATTCGATATATATTTTTTTTCGAGCTGCGTAAAACATTTATATATATCCGGCAGTATTTACTTGAATACTTTTATTATTTATATACGAACCGAGCTCCAAGCATTTTATATTGAATGCTTCGCACACGGCTCTCAAAATATTTTACGCAATTCAAAAATTCGTTTCTTTACTTTTCGCTTTTTACTCGAATATCTATCTCTTTGCAGGCACGATTCGCAAAATTTAGAAGTACTAAAACGGACGCGGTGCCTAACAACGACGATCGGATGTGATTGTGAGATGTCTGTGAATGTGCAGTGGATATTGTGAGACGATTGGAAACAGAAACAGAAACAGAAGAAGAAACGTGGATGAAAACATATGGTGTATGGCATTCTTGGGTTAATTGAAAGTCTGGAACTGAACGGGTTAAATACACCAAATACGAACTGAAACGTGAGAACAGAACGCAACGGAACGGAATGGAACGAAACGGAATGGAACGAAACGGAATGGAACGAAACGGAAAGGAACAGAAACTGTGAACAGTTTTAACAAAATGAAAATTGTTGAACTCCAGGCTCCAGGAAAAAAACGTGCTGTAAATAGAAACTTTAATAATTAGTAAACACAGTTGGGGGGTATCTTCTGTTGGATCTGGCAACGCTTCTTGGCGGCAGAGTTGGTTCAAGAAATTCTTCATGGATATACGGCAACGCCTCTTGGCGCAAAAGCCATTTGAAATCTTGTTGTTTGCGGATATGGCAACGCCTCTTGGCGTTCGACAACGCTTCTCATCCTCATGTTAAATTACAGTAACGCCGCTTCGCTGATATGGCAACGCCTCGTGGCATTTAAATCCTCATTGCATCTTCATGGTAAATTACAGCGGAAATCTTGCGCGAATATGGCAACATTTCTTGAACTTTAAAAGGGCAGCACCTTTAAGTCATATTCAATTTGTAAATAGTTTGTTTCTTCTACTTTATATAGATTTGGATTGTCTGGCAAGGCATGCATATCTAGACCCCAGAAAGAGGGACGCAGCAGGTGTGAAGTACCGGAAAGGAGCACAGTTTGCAGAAGAGAATCAAATTCAATTTGGACAGTTGCTTGGAAGGCTTTGAAATCGCGGCAGGCTTTTGGCAAAAAACGGAATGGAATGGAAAAGTAAGAAGGAAAAGGAAAACTTTGGCTCCGATTGGCTCCAAGTTTCGCCTAGTTTCGTCTAGAGACAAGCTCATCTGAAAGAACACAGCATGGAAATAGGTTAATAACGAGGCCCAATTCGCTCTACTGGGGGCTTCGCCTAGAAGACGTCGCGCCCGACCAGGCCCGGCAATTGCGCGCGTCTCTCCTTTCCGCCTTGTTTTCAGGCTGACTCTCCTAAAACGCGGTATTTCCACTTGATGTGATGTGATGTGCACAATTGAGCGCCATTTTTTGTTGTTTTGTTATCGATCTATCGAAAGCAACGCTTTTGATGATTAGCTTTGACTTGGCAAACCAACTGCGCGACTCACACGTGTCGCGAGCAACTGGTTTGCCGTTTTTTCCATTTCATTTTCTGCTCATTTTTTTTTTATCATAAATTCTTCGTTTACGGCGCGTTCGAAAACGCGACGAAAACTCTCCTCAAAATGAATTTCTTTTTATTTTTGTTTTTTTTTTTTTTTTGTTTTTTGCATGCATATTTTTTTTTTTTTCCTATTTAAACTCCTGCGCTAAGTGTGCACACCACGTATAACGTGGACAATTTTTGTTCCATTTCAAATTAATTGTTTGATTGATTTATTGATTTACTTTGGCATTGGCAAAGGCGACGCGGCAATTGCCCGCAGAGAGGCCGGCGTTACGTCCCGTCTCGAAGTCGGAAAAACTCACCGGGCAGCAGCTTTGAAAAGGGCATTTTACGCAACTCGCAACTGGAACTGGGAAACTCGGCTGCAAGCAAAGTACATATTATACGACACACAGCTGGTATGGGATGGCATATGGCATATGTACATGGGAAAATCAAGAGTTGATGGCATTAAATCAAAGGACAAACGATGCTGCCAGCTGCGATTTCAAAGTGGACAAAACTCGATTTTAACAATTTTCAAATCAATTTTTCGAGGTTATGGCGCATGGTGTAACTGTTTTGTGCTCCGTTAACGGTACATCACGTTTGAAGCTGCGTCCCGGGGCCGGGTCCATGCATAAGCAATTTTTCGTCTCTCTCGCTCTCTTTTATGTTCTGCTTGAACTTGTTTGTCTGCCTTTGAAGGAATTTCAGGCAACTTCATTCTCTGCACTCTTCTCCCTCTCCCTCTCTCGCTCTCTTTTATGTTCTGCTTGAACTTGTTTGCGTTGTAATTTTTAAGGAATTTTAGGCAACTTCTCTCTGTGCATTCTTCTCGCTCTCTATTATGTTCCGCTTTAACACACGTTTGCATTTGAAGGAATTTTAGGCAGCTTCTTTCATTTCACTCTTCTTCCTTTCTCCCTCTCTTTGATGTTCTGCTTGAACACGTTGGCACTCTTCTCCTTCTCTCCCTCACTCTTTTGTGTTTTTCTTTAAAACGTTTGCAGCTGCGATTTTTCAGGAATTTCAGGACTGTCAACTTATCGCTTTGCACTCTTCTCCCTCTCTCTGGCTCTCTGCCTGCTTCTCCATGCGACAGTTGCCCCAGCGACACGGCCTAAACAAAAAAGAAGAAAGAACCAACTAAGGAATACTCTGCCTAAACACGGACTCTGGATCGGACGCAATGTTGCTGCACAATATTCGGACGTAGTCATGCCAAATGGGATGCGGCTTGATGGATTTGTGTGTGAATTACGATGACATTTGTTGCGGCTTATGCGTTTAATAATTGATCGAATATGTGGGTTAACGGCACTTGGCGGCCATTTTGTTATGTATATATATATATATATATATATATATATATATATAATCATATTGAACTGCGAGTCGTGTGCTCGGCTGGTTTTTAGGGAAGCTTGAGCCCAACGCGGCCTGGCGCCGAACTGTGCGCCTGCCTCGGTTGTGCGGGGGCTTGTGCTGGCGGGGGAAACGCGCGCGGCATGGGGGGGTACTCGACCCGCAAATTATATTGTTATACACACTTTGCAGCGTGTAACTGTAATCGTTTATGGGTTTTGTATTGCTTTCGCGTTCTTATCGATGGGTCTCCGCTCTTGCGTTTGGGTGCATATGGCCGTCCCGCTCTGACGCTCGTTGCCGCCGCCACGCGCCGAGCGAGATGGACATATGTCTGTTGCGTTGTTCGAGAGGAACGCGCTCTCTGTACTCTTTGCTCTCTATCGCCATCTCGCTCGCATCCGTGTGCTGCCGCGCACACTCGCGATAGAAGTATGTGGTTACGCTTTGTCTCGCTTTCGTTGTGTGTGCGGCACCAAACGGACACGATTCGATGTGCTTATCTATTGTCCATTTGTCCAACTCGCTCGCCGCGCCCTTCCATCCAAGAGCGTAATTAGTTCTCCCCCCCCCCCTTTGGCCTAGGTGCACCCGCCCGCAATCGCAGAGTGTGATTGATCTGAGCCCACAGCAGCCGCACACGCCCCGCACGCGCCGCCCTTTCGCTGGGCGGCGGAGTTGCCAACCGTTCCTCGGAAAGCAGAGGCACCACAAGCCCCCAACCGGGACATACTCACCCGCGGCACCCGCCCGTTGGGATTTGCTTTAATGCTTCTTTCAGCGCTGCTTGCAGCTCCGTTTATCGGTTTGATGGATCGATGGATACGATGACACACAAGGCGGACTGATGCAGGCACACGGATTATACATCGAATATTGCGCACTTTGCAGCTCGGAAAGCAGTTGACGCAGAACCTGGGTACAGTTGCCAGGCAAAAGAGAAGCAAAAAAGAAGAAGCAAAACATCAAAAAGGACTTTAAATCGGACACTTTGCAGTAAATCAAAATTGGCACTTGAACAAAAATGAGCACAGAAATATGAAAATTAATTGTTTGCACTTTATCCTGAACTAGTTGAAAATTGAATTGAAAAATTAAATTTGGAATGAAGACCGTGTCGCTGGCTGCAGAGTTTTCACTCGACTGTGCCCGACGCTCGGCGCACAGCGACGAGCTAGCCTCGCTCGGGCATAAGCCTGCCAGGTAGAGGCAGCTCGTCGTCGTCGCGAGGGTTCGAGCCGGCTGGCAACAGGCAGGCAGGCAGCCGAGGCTATTTTTAGGCGCCCTGCAGCAGCTGCATGTCCTGTTTTTCCAGATACTTCTTCGGCTTCCTTTGTTCTCAGGTATACACACGCTTTCCAGGTAGGCCAGCCCTCCCTCCAGGCCCTGGCTAATTTCCTTTTTGTGCTGTTGGCAATGCCGCAAAACTCGGCGTTACTTTGCAGTTGATTGCATAAACTCGCTTTTTGTTAATACCACAAAAATGCTGCCATTTCTCGCACAGGACACACTTTGATTTTGATTGCAGCTCTATTGTAATTCGATTCTCTGGCTGGACTAAATATTCCAGGCGTGGGCGACGCCTCTCTCCACAGGTTGGGGCTCCGGACGTCACGAGCTGTGACGCAGCTACTCACCGAGTTGCAGCTGGTTCAAGGGAGCTTCACAGAAATTCACCTTTCACATTTATTTAATACATTTATTTAATCATTTTTAACTCTCATTTCGACAACTTTTTCACTTTTTAATGTGGGCGATCGCGCGCACTGCGCACTAAACACAGCAGCAGCAGCAGCCAACTAAGTGCTGCCAATCACACGAACACTAGTATGGCCGCACTGTTTTTACGACCGGGTGGCAGCGCTGGGCGTGCAGCCCTGGCAAGCGCAAGACTTGACGCGCCAACTAACCGTTGAAATTGAAATCGTTGAGCAAGAGAAATTCAAATTGTCTGAATAGGAAATATAAATAGCGGGAAGTTCAATTGGTCTGAGTGGGAAATTTAAATTGTTGTGCAAGAACAATTCAAATAGTTCGCAAAGCAATATTAAACCTAGGAGTTTAACGAATTAAATGGTATTAGAAATTAAATGGTACTTAATTCAAAAACACTTTTGTAAGAATGCATATAGCTAATTTAAAAAATGCTACAAACATAGCAAACGCAGAAAATAAATATAAAAAAAAGGTTGCTATAACATGGACTTAATTTGAATTATTTAGAAAATGGTAAAAAAAAACAATAAACACATAAAATATATATATTAAAAAAAACAGTTGCCAATTAAATCGTTTTGCGCGAGAAATACAAAAAGTCTGAATGGGTTTTTTTGAATAGGATAGAATAGCGCGGAAAATTCAAAAAGACTGAATTGGACATTTTAAGGGAAATTCAATTAGTCTGAATGGGAAATTTAAATGATTTACGCGGGAAATTCAAAAGGACTGAATTGGACATTTTAAGGGAAATTCGATTAGTCTGAATGAGAAATTTCAATGATTTAGCGGGAAATTCAAAAAGACTAAATGGTAAATTTAAATGAATATGCAATTAAAATAGTTGGCAAAGGAATATAAAAACTTGGAGTTTTACGGATTATATGGTATTGCAGAGATAAACGTACTTACATATTTAGCACAGGTGAACAGGTGGTCAGGTTTAGGGCTCCAGGTAAGTATCATAGGCCTGATTGCGATAACTGCCGTGTCCTGGCGTGCCTATGACATCGCCGCCGCCGCCGCCACCAGCCGCGCCGCGCTTCACATTGGGCACCTGCTGATGTCCCACGATATTGTGCAGCGTAAGCTCGTTGATTTCCTCGTCCTTGACGACCTTGGGCATCTCCATGTACTTGTAGTTGCGCGCGAGGAACAGAAATATCAACAGGTTGACCAGCATGATGCTGGCGAAGAGCGCAAACTCCGCCGACTGGGTGCTGACGAACTTGACCTCGGCTATGACCACGACAATCATATTGCCAATGGCCACCGAGAGAAGCCAACAGGCCTGCAGCACGGACTTCATGCTGACCGGCGCCTGGGTAAAGGAGAACTCCAAACCCGTCACCGAGAACATGATCTCGGCGGCGGTCATCACCACGATTTGCGGCAGCTGCCAGAGTATGGACAGCGACGTGGGCGGCACCACCTCCAGCATGTTGTATTGCTAGAGGAGCAGAAGAAGACAACATTAGAGCAATAAACTCTGAGCTTAATTCCATCGGGGACTTACGTAGCCGTCGCGGGCATTGCCCTGCACCAGGAGGCTGTAGAGTCCGCCGTTCTTGGCCTCGAAGCTGGCCGCGCGCTTCCCGTTGATATCCAGCTCGCCGTAGCCGAGCGAGATCTCGTGCAGCGCCGTCAGATTGCCAATGTCCAGCCTGATGCCGGGCACACCCGAAACGGGCGCCCTCAGCAGGACGGGGCCCTCGCCCGCGGGCGTGTTTACCAGGGTGCGCAGCAGCGGGGGCCGGTTGATGCGCTGGGCACTGCTCAGGCCGTCGGGAAACTCCTGGAGCTTGGCATTGGCCAGGAAATAGCTGACGGACTTGCCCGGCTCGAGGCGTATGCTGCCCTCGATGCTGGGACATTGCTTGGTCTGTGGACGGGCCAGAAACGTGTACTCCTTGGGCTGGGGCACATGCAGGCCCAGATTCGACCACATGCCCAGCGACTCAATCGAGTCGGAGTCGGAATCCTTGACCAGGTCGCTGGTAAAGTCATAGCGACAGGGCATCCCATTGTAGAGCCGCAAATGGGCCATGTCCGGGGCGGAGGGCGTTGCGGCCGGCTCGAGCTGCTCGAGGCGCAGCTCGACGGCGGCGGACAGAAAGAAGCCAAAGGCGGCGAGCAGCAGGCCAATGCTGAGCTTCTGCAGCGGACGCTTGATGCCGACGCGGGCGAGCAGCGGATAGATGAGATAGTCGAAGAGCGGTATAAAGGCGAGTATCAGCAGAGGATTGACCACCTGCATCTGGTCGGGCTTGATCTGGTAGCCCAGTATCGAGCCGTCCATGTGCGTCGCCTGGAAAGTCCAGCGCGAGCCCTGCTGATCGGACAGCGCCCAGAAGATCGGGAACGGCACGTAGAGCAGCAGGATCTTGGTCAAGCATTTCGTCTCGTACACCATCTGCTGGCCCACGACAGGCGTGGCATAGTCGAGGAAGTGCATCATCGGCTTGTCCCGGCGATTGTGGCGCCAGCCCTTGTACGCGTTCGTGATGCACTGCGACACGCCGAAGATCATGTTGCCCGACGGCGGATGCAGCTTGTAGCGTCGCTTCCCAGCCACAAAGATCAGCATCGAGACGATCATCAGGATGGCGGGCACCCCAAACGCCAGCGAGTAGCAGTCCTCCTCGCCAAAGCAATAGACATCCGCCCGCAAAATGGGTGTCACCGTCGTCGAGATCATGGAGCCGGCATTGATGGCAAAGTAGAAGAGCGAGAAGAACTTAGCCAGGTCGACGGCCTGCGCCGGCAGCTGGAACTGATCGCCCCCGAAGGCCGAGACGCACGGCTTGATGCCGCCGGTGCCCACGGCTATCAGCAGCAGTCCCACAATCGTCACCAGCCTGCCAATCAAGAACATAACTCACGGATACGGATACGTATCGATACTCACTTCACGGGCATTCCGGCTATGGGTATGGCCCCAAAGGCCACAATCATCGCGCCCAAGCTATACACGACCGACAGATACAGGATTGTGCTGTACTTGCCCAGCCAGCCGTCCGCGATGAGTGCTCCGACCAGCGGAAAGATGTACACCAGCATGGTGAACACGTGGAAGAGTACCGTTGCCGTCTCCTCGTCGTAGCCCAGCTTGTGCGTCAGATAAAGCACCAGAATCGCTGCGGTAGATAATAATTTGGAGAATTACTATTCGTGCTAGGAGGAGGAGGGGCCTTAGAGATCGGTGAGAACTTACTTAGTGATCGGGGTGGAGAAGGCGAGGGGGGGGGGGAAGGCAAAGAGATCGAGGAGTACTTATAATGTGGAGGAAGAGGGGCCATGGAGATCTGAGACTAACAACCATGTGGGCGAGGAGAAGGCATAAAGATCGGGGCGAGGAGGGGAGCGTAGAGATCGGGGAGGACTATTCACGTGGGAGGGAAGGGGTCATAGAGATCAGGGACAACTAGCATGTGGAGAAGGAGGAGGAGATGGGGGTCAAAGATCGGGGACTACATACCACGTGTGGGATTGGGGTCGAGATCGGAAGGGGCAGGAAGAGGGGACATAGATATCGGTGGGTGTAGGGGTCATAGGGAACGGGGAGGACTTACCACGTGGGAGAGAAAGGGGACGCAGAGATCGGTGCCTACTTATCACATGGTAAAGAGTGTGGGGGGGGGAGGGGGGGTATAGAGATCGTGGAGGACATATTACGTGTGGAAGAAGCGGGTCATAGAGATTGTGGGGAGAAGGGATCATAGATACCAGAGACAACTAGTACGTGAGAAGAAAGGAGGAGGAGGAAGAGGTGGAGAGCTGGAGAGCTTACTTACCACGCATGCCATAATAGTTGAAACGCTCGCAGAACTCATTGCTGATGATGAAGGCCACCGACTTGGGATATTCCGGACTCTGTCGAACGGAACAAGAAGAAGCAGAAGAAGAACCGGAGATTAGACAACAATTCTTATTTAGCAGACATCTAAGTCTTGTTATCCGATTTAGCCAATTATATAGTCAAGTTAGATGACTCGTAATTATCGCAACTATTTTCGTCGCACGATTTATTGTTTATTGGACCTGTCCCCGTCATTATCTACGCCCGAATAATCAAATGGAAACTGCAAAGTGCCGCATCATTTGCTGACTTGTCGAATCCGACAACTGCCAATTACTACGACTTTATCTGCCAGTCCGAGTGTGTGCGTGTGTGTGTGTGTGTGTGTAGTACGGGTATCTTTATATACGTAACTGAAGATAGGCCTTGTCTATGCCTGACAAATCTCTTTTATGCCCTTGCCGAGGGTATTATAATCTTGGCTCGAGCTGTGTAACGCATAGAAGAAGAGAGAGATGTCTCCCAGCACATAAAGTACATATATTCTTGATCAGCATCAACAGCCGAGAGTCGATATAGCCAAGTCCCTCCGTCTCGCCGTCTGTCTGTTTCTATGTGAACTAGTCTCTCAGTTTTAAAGCTAACGTCATGAAAATGTGCGGAAGCGGCTGGATCGGACCACTATATAGCTGCCATAGGAACGATCGGTCGAAATTGAGGTAAAACTTGTTTGTTTATCAAAATTGGTTTAGATAAACATGCTCGTCAATAACTATTTTCCCTGTGCTTCTTAGATACGAGCAAAGAATTACAAGAATTATGCAAAGTTTCACTCTGCAAGGGTATTAAATATTCGGCTTGCCGAAGATAGCCTTTCTTTCTCGTTTTCATTGTTGAAGAGCATTCGAGCGTAATCGACTCATTAAACTATATTTATGAGTTTTACAAAATGCCAAAAAAAAGATTATAAAAGTCGATAATACTTCTTTTTCAACCCTTCTCTCTCCCTCCCCCTCCCTCTCCCTTTCTCTCTCTCTTCATCTCTCTTCCTCTCTCTCGCTCACTCTCCCTCTCTCTCTCTTCATCTCTCTCTAACCATTACAGTCATGCTTGTTTATTTATTACAGGGTATATTCACTTTGAACAGTCGGGAAGCCTTTGAATAAGAGTGCGCTAATCGGAAATACGCGACTTAGTGATACCCTGTACCCACGTGCTTCAGTGCCAGGTTTATCTTATATGTATTTATTAATATTATGAAAATAGAAGGAGATGGAAAGATATTGAGATAAGCAAATAAACTATTTCTAACTATGGTTAATAAGAATTTAAAGGCTTACACTTTCGCAAATCCGAAGATTGACTAAATGTGAATATATATCCCAAATATCAATGGTAAAGTTTTGCAGATCCGAAGATCGAGATGTTTTCATCTGCCTGTTACATACTTTGGCACAAGAACAAACTACCCTCTACACCAATTGTCAGTGGTCGAGGGTATACGAATATCTATAGATAATTATGTATTCGCCAGATAGTAAGACTGACTGACCTACTGTTGTTATGAATGTATTTGGCTGTCGCCTCTTGTCGATTTCATTTACGTTTTGTTTTCGTCGTTTTCGTCTTTCGTTTTGTTTTGGTTGCTTTTGGCCAAGGTTGCTTTTGGCTAAACGAGTTTGAGCCAACAGCTGTTGGCCCAAAGCTAATCAAATTGCGAATTCTGCATGCGTAATGCCCGAGCCAAAGTCAAGTCCGAGCCCAACTCTGTTTACAGGGTATTCAACAGCCACTTGGCTCTAGCTTTGGCTCTAATGTTAATGTTGATTTGGCTGGCATTTGAAATCTTGTAAAACGAGTTACGACGTGTAAAAAAAGCTATTAGATAGCATGAAGTGCCGTTTCTCAGACCCAGACCCAGTAAATTCTTCTTTATGCCCCTCCCGATTGTTTGACATTGACATTTCTTTAGAAGAAAACACAATAGAACCCAACTGAAAGAGCTTCGCTGAGTTTTCCCACTCAATTGAGCGGTGCTCTCCAGATCTCTCTCTCTCGATCTCTCTCTCTCTCTCTCTCTCTCTCTCTCTCTCTCTCTCTCTCTCTCTCTCGCTCTCTCGCATTGTCTGCCTCCCTTTCTATCTGCATATTTATATATATGTATATAGTATTAAAAGTTCTGAGCTCGTCTAACTGGTCCCAGACATAGACAACATTTCAAATGTTGAGTCTAGCTAAGGTTGAAGCATTTGCAAAACAAAAGACAGGTGCTATCCGGCTTTGCCCGGCCAACGTACTTTTCATGCAATTGACTGTTATTCAATCTTGGCGTAGATTATCCAAAAGGTATATTAAATTTATATATTTGTTGTAAGACCCGATGAAAAGGCAGCTTTCAATCAATCAATCAATCAATCAGTCCGACTGACAGTCTGCATAAACGGTTAAATATGTATATATCTCTATGTTTAAAACATTTTGTCCTGACTGACTGGCTGATTGACTGACTGATTGACTGATTGATCATCACGCACGCAACGCGTGCATTCAATCAATCAATCAGTCCGACTGACAGTCTGCATAAACGGTTGAATATTTATATATCTCTATGTTTAAAAAGGTTTGTCCTGACTGACTGGATGATTGACTGACTGATTGACTGATTGATGATCACGCACGCAACGCTGAAATGTTCACTGTTGTCAGCAATATCTGATGAAGATGCACGTTAAGACGGGGTTTTGGGGAAAACTCCACTCGCACTCGTGTGAGAAAATCGCGAAAAACGTTTGTATCCGATCGGAATTTAGTTGATATTTATTTGATATAGATAGCATATATTTATATGCATAGATTATTTGTGTCAAGGCATTATTTGATTCGACTAACAATTTCATATCAAAGGAGTTGCCCAGTTTTCCCGCTGACATTTTTCATCACACCCTCTCGCAAATGCGATTAACCGAAATACAGATCTATTATGAAATGATGACGTCACGTTCTCGCTATAAATTTGTTGTATTCTGTACGCTCAGTCGGTTGAACGGCAATTATAGGTTGTAATATGCACCTGATGATTCGAGCTGCGACTAATTGTAGAGCCGACATCAATTGTAGTTGATATCTTTGCTTAGTTGTTGTTTAACGTTCGACTAGACACAAATCGCTCGCATAGTTGAAAAACAAATACGATAGATATATTAGGCAAGTCCGGTTAACCAAGATACCCGTAACTCCAGCTGTATGGGTTATTCAACTTGCTTGGTCTGAGTAAAGTGGGTCATCGGCACCGGCGGAGGGTTCTATTGTTTTGATTCGAATCTCGACCACGATATCGATTCCATTTCGCTGATTAATTCAATCAATTTGCGGGCAATAAAAGGATTGATCGGCGATCGGCGGGCAACCAAGGTCAGTATGCGAACAAGTGTGAGCATCATACCAGCCTCCAAAGCAATTCCTGACCAACATCAACAGCCGAGAGCTGCCCCATATAAAGTATATATATATTGTGTTGATCTCAATCAAGTTTCGATTCGGCATGGAAATAGTCTTTCTATGAGTTTATCTTGTGCTGAAATCTCTTACTCGGCCGGATCGAACCACTATATCGTATATCATATGATTGTCTTAAAAGCGGGCATAGTTTTTCCTACGATTAAACTCTTTTGTTTTTCGATAAATCTTCATCAATTTGCGTGTCGAACGCGTGCTTCCAACATATTCTCAAATATGTACTCAAAATTGGGTCACAATATCGTAGTGCTCCAATAGGAAACATTCGAAATCTTCTATGTGTTTGCATGCCGAAAATAACTGTTCTTCTTTGCTTGACATTTGCGATATACATAATACCCTGCACTATCTCCAACAGGATATATCTGTTTATATATTATGTGGTACTTTGTGTTTTCCCCATATTAACAAATATGTCATCAAAATTGGTTCACAATAGCATATTGCTCCAATTGGCTAAAAATAAAGAAGTAACATCCGAAATTTCCCATACCGCAAATATTCGATATATTCCCCTAACTCCCTAACAGGGCATTTTCGTTATGCGAAAGTATTTCCTTGGGTATTTAATTTGTGCCCTTTAAAAGGCAAAAACGGTTTAAGCTGCAATTGTGACTTACACGCACACACACAAGCACACAAGCATATTGCACACATGCACTCACACATATGTACATGTGTAGATATACTCACATACACTTATAGACAAAAGCGGTCAGTGGCTTTGTCCACTTTGGCAAGCGATCTCTGGTTTTTATCTCTTATATGTACACACAACATACATACATACATACATACATATGTATGTGAGTGCATTTGTGCGTGTGTGCTTTCAGAAATGCTGCACGTGCGTGCTTTGATATATGCGAGTGCTTGTGTGTATTACACTTTCTCGTTCGTCAACTGAAAGTGACAATAAGCAGACGCTACGCAGACGCTACAGCGCTGTCTCAGTCGCAGTCGCAGTCGCAGTCAACGCAGATGCTGACATTTGTGACTGGTTGATTTTTGTTTCAGGTAGGGCTCGGTGTGTACATATGTATGGCTTGTACATATTTCTACTCACATATGTATACACATATGTACATACATGCATGTGGAACTGACAAGCGCACCATAATTGTGCGGTAAATCGTTTAACGCAACGGTACATTAAGCTCACCTCTTTCTCTTGTTTCTCGCCAGCTTCCAGCTCCTTGGCAGCAGACTCTGCTGCCTTCACGTTCGACGATTTCATTTGTGATTTGTCATTGTAAATGTAATGCACACACAACAAAACAGTCGAAAACGAACACAAAACATATTAAACGAACAAATGCCTAATCTCAAGTTCAATTTACGGCTTGGAATTTAACGCAACTGCCAAAAAACACACGCGCGACTTGCAATTATTAATCTCTCGCGGGCGCAGCGCGGGCGACGACGTGCAGTCACGTCTGCGCCACAAAACGAACAAGACGAGGAGAGCCGACAGACGATAGAGGACAGCGGACAGCGGACAGAGACGCGACACCTTAAGAGCGACAAATGTGCGAATGAAGTGCGAGCCGTGCAAGCTGCGCTTTTAAGCGAAGGCCTGCAGACACCCTCGCCAAAAAAAAAAAAGGGCGATCAAGCGCTGTGCAAGGCGTGCGGGGGGAGGGGGTATAAGCATGACAGTGGCGTCACAGCGCCAATTAACGGACATCAAGTTTTACTCTCGCGAACGCGCTCTCTTTTTGTCGCTCTCCGTCTCTGTTGAGTTTGTCAGCTGCTTGTTGCAGCGCAGCGTAGGCAAGCAGCGCAGTCGCCGTCGGCGCCTTCTTCTAGCTGAGGCTGTCAAGTTCAATGCAGATAAAAGCGAGGCACATGCATGGATATATTTGTGTGTGTGTGTGCGTCTTTTATGCCGTTAGCCCTTCGGTCAGGCTTGAGGGTTGGTTAAAGAAAGCGCAGTTGCTTCTGCAATGCGACAGCTAAATACCCTGTAGCTGGCACTTGATTAGTTTGGGAAAAATGTCTATAAACAAAAATAACAGTTTGTTCTGATCAAGAATATACATGTACAAGCTAAAATACCTCCCGCTCCCAAAAGCGTCTACATTCTACCCTAGAGAGAATTGACATACATTCCCTTCATTCAAATTCTAATTTGTTTGTTTCTTTTTTTTTTGATAATATCTTACCTCTTCGCACGCTTCTCGGGGCCAGTCCCTGCTGTCGGTGGTATCGGTTTGGATTTCGGACTCGTTGGTATCGAACTCCGATTCGTAGTAGCGTGTGCGGGCCGTGTAGACGCCGGCGCTCTCCAATGGCAGCTGATCGACGCCGCCGGCAGACCGCAGCACTGCCAACAAAAGAGAGCGAACAGCAGACAGGGGGGAGATAGAGAGAGTGACAGAGAGAGACAGAGAGAGCCAGAGAGAAGACAATAAACGACTTACGCAGAGAGCTGTCGGATCCGCAGGAACAGGCCGAGGATTCGCTCAGCGACGGGGTAGCCATGCGCTCGCGCAGTTTCCGAAACATTGAATATATGAATATGATTTTGAATGAGATGCGAAGACTCGAATCTTGACAGCAGGCTCCTGGCTAGCTGTGTGCACTGTTCCCATTCCATCCGAGCCCGACCCCCCTTAAAGGGATGTCACAGGGGGTCTTCTTGCTCAAAGTGAGGGAGCTTTAGACTATTCCATTTCTTCCAAGCTACCCTTAAAGGGAAGTCGTAGGGGGTCTTCTGGTGAGCCCAAAAGTAAGCTTTAGACTATTCCATTCCTTCCAAGCTACCCTACCATTCCTTCCAAGCTACCCTTAAAGAGCAGTGACAGTGGGTCTCCCGGCCCGAAATAAGCTTTAGACTATTCGATTCCTTCCAGGCTACCCTTAAGGGGAAGTCATAGGTGGTCTTCTTGCTCAAAGTGAGCTTTAGACTATTCTATTCCTTCCAAGCTACCCTTAAAGGGAAGTCATAGGGGGTGAGCTTCAGACTATTCGATTCCTTCCAGGCTACCCTTCCAGGCTACCCTTAATGGGAAGTCATAGGTGGTCTTCTTGCCCAAAGTGAGCTTCAGACTATTCAATTCCTTCCAAGCTACCCTTAAAGAGTACTCATGGGGGGTCTTCCGGGCCAAAGTGTGTCCAAAGTGAGCTTTAGACTAGATTACCGCTAAGCTAATCTATCCGCGAGCACCACTTACACATGGATTGCAATCTAATCGGGAAAATCTTGTCAGCTGACCGCGTAGGTTCTGCAATCGGGACGCGTGCTACGCAAGCTCTTCAAGTGGGTTGCCTATAAAAGTTAAGAGCTATATACTTTATTTGGAAATTATTTACAAATTCTATTATTTAGTCTGTCATCATTTTATAGGGTTGGAGTAGTGGAGGGGCAGGGGAAGGGGGGGTGGGTGGCAACACTGCCACGGCTTTGTTCGAATTCACTGAGTGGAACAAAGGCGGATTCTTGTATTCCCCGCGCTAGATCAGAAAATGTGATCGAATCCAGCATGATGTAAGTCCCATAGAGATACATATACTCGAAACGTTTCTCAAGAGGCCCAGGGCCATTGTCTTCTGCTGCAATCCATATATTAGTATATGTATATATACAGTCTATAGTCTGTAGTTGCAGCTCAAGTGCGAGTCTTATAGATATGGGCCATGCGCTGCTCTTAATAGCTTCAATAAAGTGTTACTCAATCCATTCATAATGCCATATATAGTATATATACCTGAATACGTACACTGGATCGGGTACTTCATAATAACTCAAGTCGCTTTTGGCTTTTGTCGCTGAGCAAATGACAATCGATCGAAGACGAAGAAGAAGAACCAAACCAAAACAGAAACGAGAAAGAAGGCACGCCGAAGATTAAATACCCTTGCAGACCTAAGCTTTTCAAGCTCGTATCTAAGAAGCATAGGAAATATAATTTATGCCGTGTTTGGCTAAGATAACTTGAAAAAACAAAAAAGTTATTCCTACAAGAACATTATTGTCGACCAATTGCTCCTATGGCAGCTAGATGATATAGTCGTCCGATGTTGATAGGATTTAGTATATATATGAGAAGCATGGTAAAGCTAATAAATGTCGAGTTTGGTCAAAATATCTTGAAAAACAAAAAAGTTTCTTATACAAGAATCTACTTTTCGACCGATTTCTCCTATGGCAGCTATATGATTTAGTCGTCTGATGTTGATAGGATTTAGTATATACATGAGAAGCATAGTAAAGCTAATAAATGTCGAGTTTGGTCAAAATATCTTGAAAAACAAAAAGGTTTTTCATACAAGAACCTCAATTTCGACCGATTTCTCCTATGGCAGCTATATGATATAGTCGTCTGATGTTGATAGGATTTACTATATACATGAGAAGCATGGTAAAACTAATAAATGTCGAGTTTGGACAAAATATCTTGAAAAACAAAAAAGTTTTTCCTACAAGAACATTATTTTCGGCCGATTGTTCCTATGGCAGCTATATGATATAGTCGTCCGATGTTGATAGGATTTTGTATATATATGAGAAGCATAGTAAAGCTAATAAATGTCGAGTTTGGTCAAAATATCTTGAAAAACAAAAAAGTTTTTCCTACAAGAACCTCAATTTCGACTGATTTCTCCTATGCCAGCTATATGATATAGTGGTCCGATCCAACTGAGAGACTAGTTCGCATAGAAACAGACAGACGGAGAGACTTGGCCATATCGACTCGACTGTTGATACTGATCAAGAATATATATACTTTATGGAAGATATCTCGTTATATGCGTAACACAGCTAGAGATAAAATTGTAATACCCTCTGCAAGAGTAGAAAATAAGTCCATAAATCGGCCATTCGAACAACATGCAATAACACTCGGTCGTACAATGCAATGGTCATGTTTACGATATACCTGTGCTTACCTGCACACACACACACCTGGATGTGCTAATCTAAGTGCCCGTAATTATGGGTAATCATAAATATGTGCGCCATGCACAGTTATCAGGCCGTCGATTATCGGAACGATTAGGCATATAAAACGGAGCCAAGTCAGCGCAAGTATTAGATAAGATCAATGGATGGATCTCAGCGAGCACCTGGTGACAAATGGACACCTTTACGGGACATTCTGGCCAATCGAAGAGGAAGGAAGGAAGGAAGGAAGGAAAACAAATATATCTCGACTGTAATTGAAAAGTAACTGTACTTGTAGATACCCTGAACGGGCAACTAGTAAAAGTTATCTGCCAGGTGGAGATAAGAAATGAATTGACACAAAAAAAATACTTAATTAATGACGCCGCAGACACGACTCGACAAGGGCTGCTGTTTGCCAGATAATGATACGGGCCAGGTAACGGTATCGGATGCCCCTGACTAAACAAACACTGAGATAGAGCTCAACCCGATGATACAGTTTTAGATAGATATGTATATATATCGGACGTCTGATCGTTGCGATATCTGGCTGTAAATTAGCTGCGAGCTGTGAAGGACGCGCGCTTTCTGCTCGTAAATACTTCAGCTGCAGCGATAAGCTTGTTTTGGCTGATAAGCTTTTGGCCAAGCTCTCCAAAAAGCGATTAGCGGCATGTTTAACGGTGCCCAAAACAGATTGCAGCGACGCCGGCGCAGGGCACGCGCGCAGTCGCAGTCGCAGTCGACGTCGAGCTCGAAACTGTTGCCGACGCCTTCACAGGGATCGCGCGCAGTCGCTGTCGCTGTCGCTGTTGCAGTCGCAGTCGACGTCAAGCTCATAGTTGTCGTCGACGCCAACGTCTTCACAGGGCACGCGCGCAGTCGACGTCAAGCTCGAAGTTGTCGACGCCGACGCCGACGTCGACGTCGACGTCGACGTCCGTCATCCGACGGCTTCTTAGTTGACTTACACGCATCGGACATCAGTCAGTCGATTGCCGTTGGCGGAATTGGACGCGCATCGATCAAGCGAATCCGCGCGCATCCAGTTTACAGTTGTTTCCACTTCGCGTTTGTAACTGTTGCGTTTAACTGTTTGTTCTTTACAATTTTTTTTTTTTGTGTTTTTGTTTTTGTTTTCCGTTTCGATAAATGCTTCTGATGTGAGTTATTCGACTTGCAGCAAAGACGAATACAATTCAAATCATGTTTTATAGCGTCGAGGCGCGCTCAGTTCAACTCATATTGACTTTTTGTTTATTTACATTAATTTGTTGTCATTTTTTGCCATTTTCATTTTATTGCATTTTTGTTATGTTTCGCGTGCTTCGCTCCGGGCGATTGCTTTACGTGCTAATTACAATAACGAAATAAATTATTCAAGTTCAGTTCGGCGGCAAATTTATGATTTAATTTTTGTTTGTTTTCTGTTTTTTTTTCTTCAATTTTTTCGCTTACAACGTAAACCTAAATAATTAATTTTTTTTAGTGTTTTTTTGAACTTTCCGAAATTAAATATCGTGTTTCGAAAATTAAATACCGTGTTCTGATTTCTCCTTTTTCCCTCTCTCTCTCTCTCTCTCTCTCTCTCTCTCTCTTTTGATTTCAAGTGTTGCCTAACGGATGTGAAGTGATTACAGCCCAGTAACAATATGACGGATCATGAAAACGGTACTATTTTAAACTATATGCACGATAAGAACTCTAAGAAATACTAAATTATAATAAAAAGGGATTCCCAAACAAAGGCAAGAACTAAAAGTTAGTTGAGAAATAGTCGACGCTATTTATGCTGCGGCTGTGCTTCTTCTTCCCCTGGCTACCCATTATATATAGGAAATGCAGTCTCTATTAACTCGGCTATTTATAGTCCGATCTTGTTGAAATTTTCAACACTTAAATATGGCATACCAAAGCGTGTATATACCAAAGCCCAGTGCTGCTAAGGTTCTAATCCTCGAGATATGCTCGGGTTAAGCTAGCAGGGGGATTTTTCAAAAACTTCTAATTCACAAACTTATAAATTAGTAAATACTGAAACGATTGCTCAAAGCTGGCAAATAGATCGTTTAGATCTGGACAAAAGCAACTATGCCCTATATTGCTTGCTTTGATTTGATTTGTTGTCAACAAACGCTTAAGTAATTCTCCCATAAATAATCTGTATACATTGTATTGCAGATAGGTCTTATCATATAATAGGCGATTAGGCATTATTTCTTTGGTCAGGTTGGGGTTGAGCCGTCGCGCGTTTCCAAGAACTCGCCACTAAATCATATTCGAGCCAATCTTATCTGGCCGATAAGCCCTCAAGTGTGCCTGCCCTGTTCGCATAGCGGGTCTTCACTGTAGCGCTTGCCCGTTTACGGGTCTGGTCTCCGAGTTCGGCTCGAAAGACAATGCCAAATGCCAAACTTGGTTAATAAGCACAACGTTAGTTTGGCAACGAACAGCCTCACATTCATATAGCATATATCTATTTATATATATCGGAATATGTTAATGCCGAAGACGGCACTCCAATGTCAAACTAAAGTCATTTGCATACTAATCTGGCAGAGAATACCTGGATATATAGTTAGTACTCGCTTTGAGGCCAGGACGAGCACAAAAGAATACTTCTTCTTGCTGCCGATCGGGAATGAGTATATATCGAGTATATTGTGTGTGCGAATGCATGTTCATGTTAATCATTAGTTAATTTGGCTTGTATTTGTTGTATTCGGTTGCACCTTGGGTACTTTTTCAGTCAGCATTGTGCTCGTCTGTTGCATATAGTATTGTGTTCTAGTCGAAATCGGTGCTCCCCGGCGTTAGGCACCCAACTAAATTTAATTTGCCGCATGACTAATTGGCTGCAATCTAAACGGACCGATTGAATCACTGACTCGAGCTGAGCTGAGCTGAGCTGCATGCTGGATGCCGGGTTGCTAGGTTCGAGTAATTGTTTTAGCTGGCAGCTGGCAGCGAGAAGTTGCCAAAATGTTGCTGATAAGCCAGCAATTAAGGCCGCAGCACTGTTTGGTAATACATCTTGCCAAACGTTAATTAACGGCAAACAAGTCAATCACAGCCGCATGTTCGACTACAAGTATGTACGAGTATGTATAAGTATCTGGGGGTATTTACGTGCATGTATGAGTATCTGCGAGTATGTATGAGTATTAGCGAACACGTGTCCGTATGAATATCTGCGGGTATGCATGGATATCTGCGAGTATGTATGAGTATATACGACAATATATACGTGTATGAATGAGTATCTATGAGTATGTACGAGTATGTATGAGTATATATGAGTATCTGCGGGTATGCATGGATATCTGCGAGTATGTATGAGTATCTACGACAATATTTACGTGTATGAATGAGTATCTATGAGTATGTACGAGTATGTACAGGTATGTAGGATACGTACATACGTGTTTGTATGGGTATATATGAGTATCTGCGGGTATGCATGGATATCTGCGAGTATATATGAGTATCTACGACAATATATACGTGTATCTATGAGTATGTACGAGTATGTACGACAGATACCGGATATCCAGAACATGTGCGAGTTCGTCTAAGGCATGCGGCACGCACAAACTTGGGCCATGCTCTGCCTGGGCTGTGCTGCGTGGGAAACTACGTGTCGTTGGATGCCAAATTCAACCGAATTCTTAGGCCTTATCGCTCGCTACACAAAGGACCCATAAAAATGGCAGTAAGCACAAAGTGCCGGCTTAATCGCTTGTAAATCAGTTAGCGCTGTTCACAACAGCCAAACAAACAAGCGATATAGTTCCCAGATAGATCGCTGATAAGGCCCATATAATGATAAGCCAAATCGAATGCTGAACACTTTTGGTATTCCCATTTTGGCCAAGCTCAAATTTACGACTCGCTGTCCCCATGCCCGGATCCGACCCGACTGCCCGGATCCCATACAGTTCCCAGCGGACACGTACGCCCCGGAAATTCAAAGTAATCGAAATCCCAAGTAATCGAAAAGTGTTCGTCATGAATTTCTATACAAGCTAAACAAGAATCGGAAGGGAATATGTTTAGATGACAGAAACTAAACAAATTAATTAAGAAAACTATATCCTTACAAGTTCCAATGAATGTAGCCCATGCCAACTCTATATATCTCTCGCATAGCTAGATTTTCCTCACAGAATAGACGAGTTTATGCTACTATACAGTTTGTTGGGGTATCTTTCAGTCGGGCACACTCCTGCTCTTGTTCCTATTTCCTGCTGGGTCTACGCTCTGGTAAGCTTACCTTGGGGGGGATATTGGACTGCCAGCTGGCAATTTGGGCGTAATCAATTAGCCAGACATCTGTCTGTCTTAAATTGGGAGACCTTTCCGAAAATTGAGTTTTTAAGCATTTCATGTGCTGTCAAGGCTCCATTAAAATCTCTCCAAATAAGCTAAGCTAAATACCTGGGCCATAAAAACTTCAGCAAATATGCACGTGCAGCCGGCAAAAGCGATTACCCAGCCAAGTCTGGCCATAAAGGAAGAAATCTGGCTAAAAACAATAAACCTAGCGGGCTTACATATACCATATATACATTAATATATATATATATATATATGTATACTATATATATTCGCCAAGGTCTTTAATTATTCCCTTACTTTCATAATCTAAGAATAGAAATTTTGGGCTTCTGATTGATATTTTTCTAACTCAATATCTATTTCAACAAAAAAGTTGCTCTATTTCCTATATATTTCATCGAAAAACTAAAAAATATCCGCATCTCTACTCTGAATTAAAACATGCTCCTCACAGAAAATCATGAAAATTAAATGAATTCAAAACTTAGTTAATGAAAACTGTTCTAAATTAAATAAAATTCAAATTGAATTAAAAGGCCTCAACCTAATCGAACTGTTTTTTGATTAACTTCGGTATTTAGAGTCCGATCAAAATGCAAGGGAATTTTTATACCCTGTACTCATTCCAAATGGCTAAAAAGGGTATATTGTATTTGTGCAAAATGCAAATGTATGTAACAGGCAGAAAGAAGCATCTCCGACCCCATAAAGTATATATATTCTTGATCAGCATAAATAGCCGAGTCGATCTAGCCATGTCCGTCTGTCTGTCTGTCTGTCTGAGAGACCTGAAATCGATGTAGGTGCTCCTAGTGCCTGCGCAGATCGAGTTTGTTTCCGATAATCGATAACTTACTCCGTTTCCAAGCAATCGATAAAAATCGATATCGATATCCTGTTTATTGGACAATTTAGGGTATCCCCTAGTCGGGAGCTTCCGACTAGAACCTCTTACTTGTTTATTTTTGTTACTGTGGTGTATGCTGAAGATATCCAAAATGTCAAATATATTTTCGATCAAAGCCCAAATAGAAACTTATAAATCTGTGAGTTATGCCTAGGAAATCTAATCCCAAAATTGATATTATGATAATAGATTCTCCTAGTTATATATCGAGAAAAAAATGTAAATATATATATAGTTCGAGATGGTTTGCCCGACTACGGCTGTGCTCCTTCTTCCCCTGGCTACGCATTATATATAGGAAATGCAGTCTCTATTAACTCGGCTAATTATAGTCCAATCTTGTTGAAATTTTCAACACTTAAATATGGCATACCAAAGCGTGTATATACCAAAGCTCAGTGCTGCTAAGGTTCTAATCTTCGAGATATGCTCGGGTTAAGCTAACAAAAGAGAGTTCTCATTTTCGGACATTTTACAAACGGTTATTGAGAATCAACAATCGAGAATCCATGGAGACATGTCGATGCATTGGCGCATGTTTAATTTTGGCCAAATTAGGTTGAGATAGTTCCAATGGGCTGGCAATGGCATTGGCATTGCGATTGGCATTGGCTGCGCCTCGTCGGCTGCCCGACTTCAAACAGTTGCCGCGCCGCGATACCTGACTTTGATAAGCGCTCTGATATACACGAAAATAGCAAATGGTAAATGGTAAATGGCAAATAGGAATAAATTCCTGAGCAATTGCTTGGCCTCAAGTCTGGGCGCTTTATGGCCGCGATGTGACGCGACGGATGTGCGTAGTCGGCACATTATTGGCTAATGCCCGTCATAAAACTAAAATAAATGTTTATCGAATGCAGGCGATTAGCGAGTACTCGATTACGGCTGAGCGGCTAATCGTCGTCTTTACTGCACGGCACGGCTATATCAAATTCCCTTTCAGCAAGCCCTTCCTTGCAATGACTCTCCACTTTTAAGCTACTTGACTAGCTTGACTAGCAGCTGACAGCTATGAAACTCGCAGAGCAGAGTTGCATTCGCTCGCCCGACAGCAATTCTATTAACTTCCCTTCAAGCAAGCCCTTCCTTGCAATGACTCTCCACTTTTCAGCTACTTGACTAGCTTGACTAGCAGCTGACAGCTATGAAACTCGCAGAGCAGAGTTGCATTCGCTCGCCCGACTGCAATTCCTGTTTGCATTGAGATTTGTATACATTTATCGACGGGTTCTATCAAATTCCCTTTCAGCAAGCCCTTCCTTGCAATGACTCTCCACTTTTAAGCTACTTGACTAGCTTGACTAGCAGCTGACAGCTATGAAACTCGCAGAGCAGAGTTGCATTCGCTCGCCCGACTGCAATTCATGTTTGCATTGCGATTTGGATACATTTATTGGACGGGCTCTATCAACTTTCCTTCAAGCAAGCCTTTCCTTGCAGAGACTGTCGATTTCGACTTTTTCTTCGTCCAGAGCTGCGCCTGACTAGCAGCTGACAGCTATGAAACTCTGCTCTCAGAGCTGCATTTGCTCTGCTTACAGCAATGCTTGTTTACATTGAGATATGGATATGTGTAGCTTTTGTAATCGCTTCCGTAGGTACGTGCAGCCCGTATCCATTTATTATATGACAAACAAAGACAAGTCCGAGTATGTTATCTGGATACCCTGACGTACATATATGGAGCCCGCTCAGCTATGTCTGCTGACAGGTCTAATGCTCTCAAGTTCATAAATCACGCCAAATTCACACGGCCAGACGTCTGCGATCTGCCCCATCCCATCCATATACATGCATATAGTATACTTTGAACATTTAGTTGGGTTGCCCATGCTGATGAAATCGGCGACAGTTAGCAATGACAACGCCTCAGGAGATAGTGCCGCTTTTGGGTGGGCTCTGCTGTCACGAAAAACTTGCCTGAAAGCCATCTAATCGCGTCAAGCTTTCGTTGCAGATATCAAGCCCACCGAGGCTGGCGGCGAACCTTCAGACATCGCCAGCGCCGAGTCCAGAACTCTTCCAGTCGAAGCGTCAGCCCCGGCAGAGTCGAGTTCTGTTCCAGCCGAGGCCCCGACCGTAACAGCTGTGCCAGATCAGGAGCCGGCGAGCAATGGCAAGAGTCTGGTGGCTGCCAGCAAGCTGGCCGAATCCGAGCCCAAGAAGAATGGCATTGATACCGACGACAGCAAGGATTTCGGCAATGTGGCCGAGGCAGAAGGTCAGCAGAAGGTAGGCGCACAGACTAAGATTCAGATACGGTTCAGGTCTAATCGAGTCCCATTTCAGAAACTGCCCTATCCAAAGTCGGTTTTCTTCATCATCAGCAACGAGTTTTGCGAGCGCTTCAACTATTACGGCATGCGGAGTAAGTAGCTGGTTCAACGCGCCCGAAAGGGTAAAACCTTGCTAATCCCTGGTTATTCCTATTACCCCATGCAGCTGTGCTGGTGCTCTATCTGAGCCGGAAGCTTGGCTACTCGGATGACACCGCCACCGTGGTGTTCCATATCTTTACGATGTTCGTCTATTTTCTGTGCGTCTTTGGTGCCATCATTTCGGACTCCTGGCTGGGCAAATTCAAGACCATCCTGTATCTGTCCTTGGTTTATATATGTGGTTCGGTTCTGTTGACTCTCGGCGCCATTGGACCGCTCAACTTGCCGCTGGAAACGTTCACGATATTGGGCTTGGCGCTAATTGCGCTCGGCTCGGGCGGCATCAAGCCGTGCGTATCGGCCTTTGGCGGCGATCAGTTCAAGGTGCCAGAGCAGCTGAAGCAGATAACCTCGTTCTTCTCGCTCTTCTACTTCTCCATCAATGCCGGCTCGCTGATCTCGACCACCGTGACGCCCATTCTGCGCGAAGATGTCCATTGCTTTGACGACATCAACTGCTATCCGCTGGCATTCGGTGTGCCCGCCGTCCTTATGATTGTCTCGGTGGTGATCTTTGTGCTGGGCCGGCCGCTCTACAAGATCAAGCCCCCAGCGGGCAACATGGTGGTGCTGGTGAGCAGCACCATCTGGACGGCCCTGACCACCAAGTGCAAGGAGAAGAAGACCAATCCGCGCGAACACTGGCTTGACTATGCGGACAAGAAGTACGATCGCCAGATGATCGAAGACGTCAAGGTCCTGATGCGAGTCCTGTTCCTCTATTTGCCGCTGCCCATCTTCTGGGCACTGTTCGATCAGCAGGGCTCACGCTGGACCTTCCAGGCGACGCGCATGGACGGCGACATGGGCTCCTGGGACCTCAAGCCGGATCAGCTGCAAGTGCTCAATCCCCTGCTCATTCTGGTTTTCATACCCTTGTACGATGTTGCGTTCTATCCGGTGCTGAGCCTGATCGGCATACGTCGACCGTTGCAGAAGCTCACCATGGGCGGCATCCTGGCTGGCATTGCGTTCATCATATCGGGCATTGTGGAGCTCAATCTCGAGGTGAGTTCCAGTTGTTGTCGTCGTTGTCGCTGTCGGCTTCTTGTTTACTTTAATTGCACCAAATTGCACCAACTGTTTCTCTACCTTCCACTCTCTTCCCCGCTCTCTTTCCCGCTCCCTCCCTCCCTCCCTGCCTCCCTTCCTCGCTCTCCGACTGTTCTCTCCTCTGTTGGAACGACTCGGTTGTCGCTGTAGAAAACCTATCCCGCATTACCCTACAGCCAGAATGCGCAGCTGCGCGTCTTCAACACCGAGAACTGCGCCTACAACTTCGCCACGAACATCGACTCGCTGAAGACCTTCACCGTGGAGCCGTACAGCATGTTCACGGACAAGGATGTATTTGTGCCCGGCACCTTCAATTTGGAGTACACGATCAGCAGCACGGATCCCGCTTGCCATGCCTATGCAGGCGGCAGCCATACCCTCACAGAAAAGAAGGCCTGGTCTCTGTTCCTGAATGCGCGCAACATTACGGGCGAAACCTTCTGGGAGGAGGACTTTGTAAACAAACCCTCCGACAGCTACCCGCTGATCCGAATCGTCGGCAACGTCCAGCAACAGCGACAGATTGTGTTGAAGAGCAGCAAGGAGAGCTACGAGTACAATGCTAACGAGACCTACCGACAGCGCGTCTCCTCCGGCAACTACGAGATCTCCATCGATAGCCAGCCGTTGGGTACGGTGCACGCGCACACCGGCGGCGTCTATACCCTGCTCCTGAATGAGCTTGCAGCCGGCGGGTATAGCTACAAGCTGGTCGAGGTCACCGAGCCCAACTCGATGAACATCCTGTGGTTAATACCACAGTATGTGGTCATGACTCTGGGCGAGGTCATGTTCTCCGTGACGGGTCTGGAGTTCTCCTATGCGCAGGCGCCGCCCAGCATGAAGTCCGTGCTTCAGGCCTGCTGGCTGCTGACGGTCGCCTTTGGCAATGTGATTGTGGTGATCATTGCGGAGGCGGCGCTCTTCGATTCGCAGGCCAGCGAGTTCTTCCTGTTCGCGGGCCTCATGTTTATCGACATGCTGCTCTTCATGTTCATGGCCTACAACTACAAGCCGAACGATCCCAACCGGGTCGAGGAGGCCGAGCCTCTAACCAACGGCGACGACAGTCGTCAGATCAAGGCTCTCGAGACGGGCGTCGACAACAAGGGCAAGGAGATCGATGGCTAGGCTGGGACACGCCCCCCCTGGGACACGCCGCCCCCCTCAAATGTTGTGTATTATATATAAATGAAGAAAAAAACCCCCCGCCCCCACCCTCCTATGATAATTCATATATGTACTTTGTGTCCATTTACAATGTAAGTGTAAAGCTCTGCCCGGGTCAACGATCGGACCCAGAGATCGACGGGACGGGCCTTGTTGAATATGCCAAGACATACGTTTTAACTAAACTAATCTTATACAAATAAATCAAAAATTGTAATCATAGTTGTCTCCATGTGTTTGTCTTTATCTTCCCCACTCTCTCTCTCTCTCTCTCTCTCTCTCTCTCTCTCTCTCTGCCATTCTCTGGCTTTTCTCTATCTTATCAGCACCTCTCTCCTATCTCCCCTTTCCTAACTGCACCCTGTCCAGCGCCCAAGATTACAGTTTTCCAAATCTCTCAAGCTTCCAGTGCGTAGCCAAGGTAGGTGTACAGTGAAAGCACGCTTGAGCGGACAGCCACGGTTCTAATACTATCTACTGTCCGCCTAAAAGAATATTTACATATTCTTATATATCTATATATAAGCTGTTTGTCCTGACTGACTGATTGAGTGACTGACTGACTGACTGATTAACTGACGAACTGACTGACTCATTGACTCACTAACTGTCTGTCTGATTAACTGATTGATTGACTGACTGACTGATTGACTGATTAACTGACTGAATGACTGATTGACGGACTATCTGTCTGACGGACGGACTGTATGATTGACTGAGTGTCTGATAATTGACTGACGGACTGACTGACTCACTGACTGACTGTCTGACTGATTGACTGACTGATTGACTAACTGACTGATTAACTGACTAACTGTCTGACTGATTAACTGATTGATTGACTGACTAACGGATTGACTGATTAACTGACTGAATGACTGAATAAATGATTGACGGACTATCTGTCTGACGGACGGACTGTATGATTGACTAAGTGTCTGATAATTGACTGACGGACTGACTGACTCACTGACTGACTGTCTGACTGATTGACTGACTGATTGACTAACTGACTGATTAGCTGACTAACTGTCTGACTGATTAACTGATTGATTGACTGACTAACTGATTGACTGATTAACTGACTGAATGACTGAATAAATGATTGACGGACTATCTGTCTGACGGACGGACTGTATGATTGACTAAGTGTCTGATAATTAACTGACGGACTGACTGACTGACTGGTTGACAGATTGACTGATCGACTGATTGACTGACTGATTGACTGACTGACTGACTGACTGACTCACTAACTGACTAACTGTCTGACTGATTAACTGATTGATTGACTGACTGACTGATTGACTGATTAACTGACTGAATGACTGATTGACGGACTTTCTGTCTGACGGACGGACTTTATGATTGACTGAGTGACTGATAAGTGACTGACGGACTGACTGACTGACTGACTGACTGCCTGATTGTCTGACTGATTGACTGATTAATTGACTGACTGACTGACCGATTGACTGACTGACTGATTAATTGACTGACTGATTGCTGATCAACCCTGTGGGATGTAAGTGTCTGCTAAGACGGTCTTTTGGGAAATTCCACACGCAATTTTCCAATGGTATCCAATCACTATGACGTTTATCTTAAGAAACTTTTCACACTTACCGCAAAATTCGCAACGCAAGGTGGTTTTGAAATGTAGTTAACGATTTGCTGGCTGTGGAAGGGATTGGCTCAAGCGAGCTTTCACTGTAGCTAGTCCGATTTTGCAGCGCACCTATCCGGTTTTGCCAGGCGCAGGCAGCACCCAGCTGCGCATCTTCAGCGGGATACCCGGCTGCGATTACCGGGTGAGCAGCAACCTGGCAGCCGGAAGCAACTTTACCCTGAATGGGATCGACTTTTATGCCAGCGGCAACGTGGCCACCAGCAATGGTAGCTTCACGCTGAGCTACGGCATAGAAAGCCTGACGGCAGGTGAGTTGGCCAGAAGTGGAGGCCCGAGTTGAGCGTTAGTGATCCATGGCAGGTGCCATTGCTTGCAGGCTGTCCCAGGCTGGACGGTGGCACCCAGCTCCTGTACGAGGCGACGGCGCACACGCTCTTCCTGCGCTCCGCGCAGACCGTGACCAAGCTCTGGTACGTGGACGAGCTGCAGAAGTCGAACAAGTCCCTGGCGCTCGCGCGCACCCTGGGCAACTTGCCGGCCAGCACGCGTATCCAGTGGAGGGAGGTGAAAACCGGCAATACGGCGCTGGAGCTGCAGGCACGCAGCCACGATCTGCACGAGCTGAGCACCATTGAGTACGAGGTGCTAACGGGCGAGGTTCTGCTCAGTTGCCAGCTGCTGCGACCCGGCGGCGTCTACGCTCTGGTCATTGGCCAGGACAGCGAGGGCTTCGTGTCGCGCATGTTCGAGGTGACGGCGTCCAACTCGATGAGCATGCTGTGGCTAATACCACAGTATGTGGTCATGACTCTGGGCGAGGTCATGTTCTCCGTGACGGGTCTGGAGTTCTCCTACTCGCAGGCGCCGCCCAGCATGAAATCCCTGCTGCAGGCCTTCTGGCTGCTCACCGTGGCCTTTGGCAATGTCATCGTCGTCGTGGTTGCCGAACTCAAGTTCTTTGAGTCGCAGGCGAGTGAGTTTTTTCTGTTCGCCGGCCTCATGTTTGTCGACATGCTCATCTTTATGTGGTTCGCCTTCTACTACATCAGCTACGATGAGGCTGCGGCTCTGGAGCAGAACAAACGCAGATCTAAAGAGCGAAAAAATCGAAAATGTCATTAGATGCAACATGCATATAAAATATCATCAAGTATTTTATCTACATTTATTTATCGACATTTAAAACCGATTTTGTGCAGTTTAAAATTCAAATTTACCGCCACTTAAGTGTCACCGTAGAGCGCAAAAAAGAAAATATTTTATAGACACACGCACTTTACCAATAAAATGTCAACATATATATATATATTGAGTTAAGTATTCAATATTCAATCTATGTTCATATAAATAAAACTGATATATAACAACTTGTTTGCTTACTATTCAAATTTGGCGCCACTTCAATGTGACCGTACTCAGAATATATTTTCGACACATGCACATGAGCAGGGTTGGCTAACGCTGCGACGCGAGCGGCACGTAAGCAGGTTGGCAGGGTTGTTGGTCATTTGACGTTGGGCATTTTTAGCGCTTTTTTCGCTGACGGTGAAAAAAACGAACAAGAAGAAGCACAGTTGCAATCATATGACTTGTCGATCGATAGAGAAATAATAAAGGTTGCAATTTCGTGAACGCTGCTGCTACGTTGGAAAAGTTAATTACCATTTAACTCAAACAGCCGAACGAGTGACAAACTGTGACCAGCAGCCAACTCTTTGAAGCCACCAACAACAACAACAACAGTTCTCACACTCTCTATCCCACCCTCTGCGTGCGTTTGCCTGTGTGCGTAAGTCACAATAATGGACAGCTCGGGATTCATGTTCAACGTCGACAATGGCTATCTGGAGGGCCTGTGCCGCGGCTTCAAGTGCGGCATACTGAAGCAGGCGGACTACCTGAACCTGGTGCAGTGCGAGACCTTGGAGGGTAAGTTTCACTCCCAGTTCCAGTGGCCGCTGCCTGGTGCACGCCCGCTCGGTCACATGACTAAATCAAGCACTGCTATCAGCTCGTCTGTGTGTGCGTGTGTATGCTTGTAGCTGTGTGCGTGCGTGTGTGTGTGTGCGTTTGATTGTGTGCGTAAGCTTGCCTTGTGATTTGTTGTCATACTGCCCTGTTTTCATGCTGAAAAGCGAGTATATTGGTTTAAACAGTTTTCTCGCCATGTGCCCGCCCCACAATCCACTTTTCACATATATTAACTTATTGTTGAACTTCAGATCTGAAGCTGCATCTGCAGGGCACGGACTACGGCAGCTTTCTGGCCAACGAGCCGTCGCCGTTGTCGGTGTCCGTGATCGATGACAAGCTGCGCGAGAAGCTGGTGATCGAGTTCCAGCATATGCGCAACCATGCGGTGGAGCCGTTGTCCAACTTCCTGGACTTTATCACGTACGGCTATATGATCGATAATATCATATTGTTGATCACGGGCACGCTGCACCAGCGTCCCATTTCGGAGCTGATACCCAAATGCCATCCGTTGGGCAGCTTTGAGCAGATGGAGGCGATACATGTGGCATCCACGCCCGCTGAGCTCTACAATGCCGTGCTGGTGGATACGCCGCTGGCGCCGTTCTTTGTTGATTGCATCTCCGAGCAGGATCTGGACGAGATGAACATTGAGATCATACGCAATACCCTGTACAAAGCCTACCTGGAGGCATTCTACAACTTCTGCAAGAACATGGGCGGCTCCACCGCCGATGTCATGTGCGAGATTCTGGCCGTAAGTTTGTATACTTAAGCCCGGCATCGAGTCAACCGATTCCCAACCGATCAACTCGAACCGGGTTGAGCAGAGTTTCAATGCAACTCTTCGGCTCGATTGAATAGCCGAGTTTAGAAATCAATTAACCGATGCCCGGCTTTAGTCTCAATGATGTCCAATTTATGTATATACTAATTGATATGCTTCTTTAGTTCGAGGCTGATCGTCGCGCCATCATCATAACGATCAATTCGTTCGGCACGGAGCTCTCCAAGGACGATCGCGCCAAGCTGTATCCCAACTGCGGCAAGATGTATCCCGATGGGCTGGCCGCATTGGCGCGCGCCGACGACTACGAACAGGTGAAGACCGTCGCCGAGTATTATGCCGAGTATGCGGCGCTGTTCGATGGATCCGGCAACAATCCGGGCGACAAGACGCTGGAGGACAAGTTCTTCGAGCACGAGGTCAAGCTGAACGTGTTTGCGTTCTTGCAACAATTCCACTTTGGTGTCTTCTATGCGTACCTTAAGCTCAAGGAGCAGGAGTGCCGCAACATTGTCTGGATTGCCGAGTGCGTCGCCCAGAAGCATCGCGCCAAGATCGACAACTACATACCCATATTCTAAGCTACCTGTCACGTGATCGGCGGCTCCCATAACGCATACAAAATAATTTCTAAAAAGCAATTTTTCTTTCGTGTCGTTTAGCATCCAACTTTTTTTTGTTTTTTTTTTTCTTTCGTTTCCCTGTTATGCAATTGTTAATGTGTATGTATATTATTATTATTATGATATGATACTATTGTATATGTATTTTTTGTTTCGAGTATTATTCCAACAAACTGTTGCTCTGCACGAAAGTCTTGTTAGGTGCAATGCAGCTCCCGTTCCCGTTTCCATTCCGATTCCGATTTCGGTTAAACATTAACTATAAAACAATTGTTAACTCTTTCGAACATGCAGCTGCGCATTAAATATAAATATAAATACAAATATATATCCATATATCATATTGTGAAAATAAACCAAACTGTTTTAGTGTATTTCAGCGCATGTATAAAGAATGAAAACCTTGAAACAAGCCCGAGCATATTATTGAGCTTTCGCAGTAAAATCGGAAAATGGAGAAAAGCCCCAAATTATAAAAGTACATATATTCTTGACCTTGCAGCCATGTGTTCTTTCTGAGATCGACTGTCTCAGTATGGAATCTATCTGGATGAAACATAATGTAGCCTTTGCATAATCCGTTCTCTATATAGATAAACTATCCAATGATATTAGCAAATATTTAATTATCATGCTCTCCATCTATTTTAAAATTCAAATTAATGTTCGATTCATAGTTTGTTAACTTTTTGTGCACAACTTTTCAATTTCTCAAGATCTTTATCAAACTCGACACGTCACATGGGGAAGTTTTAGATAGAACCTCTAGGCACAATCGGTTGCCCATGGAGTACGGATATAATATAGATGCCATGAAATGATGGATACACGAGTTTTTCATGCTCCATACCAAATCCTACTCAAGCCAAAACTTATCGTCATTGGACTACTATCTCTATATATGACTGACTGACTGATTGACTGACTGACTGCTTGACTGACTGATTGACTGACTGACTGACTGCTTGACTGACTGACTGATTGACTGCTTGACTGACTGATTGTTAATCAACACACAGCATAAACCGTAAGAGCTAGAAATCTGAAATTTTCACTTACCTTTACCTTTTGTGATGAAGGTGCACGTAAAGAAGGCATATTCGGGCAATTCCAGTCGCATGCCATTCGATTGGCCTTAAACTCTTTTTCCAAAGGTCTTTGTTCGAATTCATCTGATGGGTGTTTCGCAGTTTTTGGAAAATGCATTCCTCCTTGGTGGAAATGTTTGTCGAAAAAAACTTCACTGGCCGACGTTTCGAGTTGAAATTTATTTCCGAAGATCTATGCGATCCTCATTTGAGACGTGCTTCGCACATTTCGCAGAGTCCAAGCTTCCTGCAATTCAAAGTCATTTTAGGCGAAGTTTTAAGTTTGCATATGTGTATGTGTATGTATGCATGTTTGTTTTCCATATATGCAAACATGCATGCATACTGACATGTAGAAATACACGTCCGCAAAACTACATGTGTACATACACACATTCATACACAATATACATGCATGTATGTATATATTTTTGCATATATAAATATATGCATGCATGCATATATGTTTGTGTGCATGCTGCATTTAAATGTATGTATGTTTGTTTGTGTATATGCAAACATGCAAACATGCATACATGGATACACACATGCATACATACATACGTACATACATACATACATACATACATACAAACATACATATATACATACAAACATACATACATATATACATACAAACATACATACAAACATACATACATACATACAAACAAACATGCATACATGCGTATATACGTACATACGTGTATACATCTACATACATATGAATATACGTACATACATCTACATACATACATCTACATACATACATGCATCTACATACATACATCTACATACATACCTACTTACCCGCCCTGCCTCCTCCTGCGCCGCCGCCTCCTGCTCCACCGCCTCCTGCTGCTCCTCCACCGGCCGCTGGAGCCAACGTTTCCTGCCTTGTTGAATTTCAGCAAAGCCTGCATGAATTCTTGAGAATCGAGGAGGAGAGCACTTGGCAGTAATTCGTTTTATTTTAATTTGCAGCACAGCGACAAATAAGCTTCGTCGGCGTTTGGTATTAGAAAACGAGCATGCAAACATATATACATGCATGCATATGTATATGCATGCACTAACACACATACATACACACACATGCACACATGCACACTCACAATACTTATATCCCTTCGCACAAATTACTCGTATTATATAACTCTTCAGGCAGAATCCGTCGAAAAACGAAATTTTAGCATTGGAAATATTTCTTGTTCCACGAATTTCGGAATTAAGCTTAATGCAGCGTCATTTGAACCAGTAAAAGCAGGCAGTAATCCTTTTCTGGCTTAAATCACAGCCACAATTAATGGAAATTCGCTGGAATAATAATAGAATGAGCTTAGATATTAATTGCCTGGGTCAGCTAATTGAAATTGCGACTGCAACGGTGCTAAATTCAAGGCCAATGCACAATTTACCTGTGACTAATGATTGCCTTTTGGTCACGTAGCGCAGCTTCTTTGTGTTGGAACAGAGCTGCAGGTGTCTCAAGGTTTCCAGGGTGCGCCCGTTTGAGTCACAAGGAGCTTGTGGCTAGACAATGGCAGCCCCTTATCCGTATTCCACGATCAAATAAGAAATTTACAAGCCGCAACAACAGACTCATTAGCATGGGCAAGTAGAAGAAGAAGAGGAGGAGGAGGAGGAGAAGGAGGAAGAGAGTTATTGTCCAAGTGGCACGAATTACAGCCGTGTCTGTTCGATCCAAAGTTAATTATGCAAAGCGGCCGAACATGTCCATATCGCATGTTGCGCCCGTTAGCCAGAGGGCGTCGCAGTCACACGCACACACGCGCACACGCACACGTACACAATTCGTACATTTGTGTGCGTGCGTGCGTCTCCGTTAGGCCGAACAGGTGGCAACACGTTCGAATCCAAAAAGAAAGCCGCGCTCAGCTGAGCCTCAAACCATGTCTTCGAGTCGAGCTTCGGTACGTTCGAATTGCCAATAACTCGAACGCGTTGTCGTTTTCTTGGCGCAGTTGTGTTTCGCGTCTCCAACAAAAAAGTTGTTTTCACCTGGCATCCAACGGATAAGCTCTGCGCGCGCCCAATCCAAATTATAACGATTCTGTTTTGTTTGTTTTTGTTTTTTTTTCCGATTCTTTGCCGTTATATTGCTGTGAACTATTTTTTTTTTAATATTTTTGTATTCATAAGTGCTTGTTGTTGCTGCTGCTGCTGAGCTGCTGCGTGAGAGGCGTCAGGATAAAAGAAACGTGTAAATAGGTAAATTGTAAGAATTTCGAAGAACATATTCAATTCGAATTTTAGAATTTTGGCTGATGAAGTGTGTAATGCGGCCAGCACCTTGGCCAAGACGTCGATGTCGACGTCGACGTCGACGTCGCTGCTAACGATGACCAGGAAACCCAGAAGCAAAAGCAGCAATGTCCAAATGCACGTAAAAGTCGCCGAGAAATTGTGTCAACCAGTTTGCGTAGCTGTCGCTGTCGCCGTCGCCGTCGCAGTCAGCGTCGCAGCCAACGTCGCGTCCGCTTCTGTTTGGTGTTCTGCTTAATGCTGTTGTTGTTGTTGTTTGCGTTGCTGCGCAATTTATGTATTTGAATTTGGCACTCGTTTTACTTTCTAGCATTGATCATCTTGAAGTTATGTTATTCGTTTTCCCATTCGCCAAGAAACTTCCTCTCTCGCTCTCTCGCTCTCGCTCTCTTTGGCTCTCACGCTTAATCGGATTCCATTCACAGTGCACTTTTGCCTGCACTCAGAGTCACAGCACATGCACAAGAACCTGCTATACTATTGTGACCCAGCACACACACACACACACACGCATGCATTTAAGCTGGGCCTTTGAAAGTACCGCACAGCAGCGTTGCATTGGCTTATTCTCTTTGTTCCCTCCCCGTCGCTGGCCGCGCCAAGCCGTCGCTCGTTCATCAATCTTGAAATTTCACCTCTCTCTGGCATTGAATGCGGTTACTTAAGCCGTATGCCGATAATCGGCCTATTCGACTTGATATCGTAATTTCTGTTATTACGATAGCTCACATCGATTCCAATTTTCACCCACAATGCGGAGTCAAAACTGGCGCCGGGCTTGTTAAAGAAAGTGACACGCAAATTATGCAAATTGCCCAGCCTCTGTGTGTGTGTGTGTGTGTGTGTGAGAGAGTTATGTAAGCCATGGCAGGATGTAAAAGTCCGTAAGGCTGTTAAGCATAATCGAAGCAGTCGTTTCGTAATCAGCGACAGCTGAAAGTAAGATTTTGGCATCACCAACAAAATTAATATATTATTTAATTTTTTTTTTTTAAATGCATGTGATTTAAACAAACAACAAAACACAAACAACCAAAAGGCGACACTTTCGCTGCGTGGACCGTTTAACAGTTTCAGATTTTCGGTTTCGGTTTCGATTTCGAATCTGATTTCAACAATTAGGGGCGCCTTTGGCTTAAGCGCTGCAGACGGCGCATAATTAACAGTTTTCGGTTTCGAATTCGATGTCGCTGATAGACTAGCCTGTGGCCCCGCCTTCGCCTCCGCCTTCGTCTGCTCGGCGCATCTCTTATGATAATTTTGATAAAAGCTAATGTTATTGTTGTTGTTGTTGTTGTTGTTGTTGCTGCTTACTTTCTATTTTCCTATGCGATTAATAATTAATTAATGCTAATAACTTTTCACAACCGTTATAATTTATTGACAAAAATAGAAAATATGCGCCCTGACAACACAAATCAAGCAAACAAACAAAACTCACACACACACACACACACACACACACACGCACACACACACGCACTCACAGGGGCACACGTTGTGTTGTTGTTTTTGGTTATGTTCCAAATACGTCAAATACAAATGAATCTGATTATGAATATGAATATGAATATGAATACACTCATTTAATGCTGTTACGTATTGGAATGCTAGTGAAATTATGTGAAGCAGTAAACAACAAGAAGAAGAAAAAGTAGGAGGAGGCAGAGGCAGAGGCAGCACATGTCAAACCGCTTCCAATTGGGCCAATTGGGCAGAATGCAATTCGTTAGCAGAATGCAGTAAACAAATATGGTTGCACTTAGTGCATGCAAGCGCCCAACCACCCACCCAATTGCTGGACAACACGCGCACGAATTCGAATATGAATATGTTTCGAATTCCAATTTGAATTTCAAGTACAATTTGATTACCATGGCCATGGCCATTTCGATGTTTACTGTTATTGTCGCTTGGAGCATTCTACTTCTGGCTCCTACTGCCGCTGCCGCTGCCGCAGCCGCAGCCGCAGCCGCAGCCGCAGCCGCTGCCACTGCCGCGACTTGTTGCCGCATTTGGTCACATACTTTCTTTCCACTAATAGGCTGACAGCAACAACAACAACAACAACAACAACAACAACAACAACATCAACGGCATCAACAATTGGGTTACAAATTACTGTTGTCCGCGGTTTTCGTTTCGTTTCTTGTTTTTTGTCTAGTGGAAGGTCATTCTGTGAAACAAAGCTCTGCTAATTAAACGCGCACATCATTTTTTTCTCTCTTGTTATTTTTTTCGCTCTCTCTCTCTCTCTCTCTCTCGCGCTTGACCATGAGAGCTGAACAAATATTATGACACTGCAACCCCTTCGCCCCCCCCTACCCCTGCCCTCACATCCAGCAGCAGGCTCTTCTTACGCGCGTGCATTTTCGGATATGTGCTGATTGGCTGCCTGCTTGACTGAACGCACAGTGGTTCCATATTGTTGTGCGGAGAGAAGGAGAAGAAGAGAAGGAGAGAAGGAGATATTTTCAAAGATAAATACACACTACCAAAAGCATAATGCACTCACCTGAAATATATATTGAATATCTAGAAATTGTTTATTTAGTGTGCAAATGTTATGGATGATAACCACTGTGCGCATTCCTTCCACAAAATATACGAATTTTATCTAACAGCTAATATGCATGCTGAGCTTTCTCTCTCTCTCTCTTTCGCTCTGCCGCTTTGGCCGACTGTTGTCTAAGCTGTTGAAAGCGAGATCGAAAACGAAGCTCTAGTCGCAAGTGGGCCTCATTATGCCGCTTCTGGCCGACGAGGGGCGCTTCAATGAGTCAATGTCTGAAATTTCACTTTGACCGGAATAAGTCATGCTTTAAGCTGGAAATTTAATGGTCAGGGGGGGGGGTAGCGTTTACATTCTTACAAGCCGTTGCCCAAATCAATAGTCAATTAAATAACTTCGGGGCCTGTTGCCGTCCCATCTGTTCCTCCCCCTCCTCCGCCGACCTCTTGTGCTCGTTGTTGCTGGTCACTTAAGATTTCACTCTCGCTTTTGTCTCGTTTGGCCTTTGTCTTGGGTTTGGGCGCTTTGTCTTTTGTCTTTTGCTGCGGCCTCTTTTGTCTGTTTGCATACGCATTTGACACAATATTTACGCATTTTCGAATTTCGATATGCGCTGCCCACTCAACGGCTGCTGTACGCTAGATGGCGCTGCTAATTTGTTTACTTTGAAATTCGTGCAACACCTTGCCCACCTGCCCGCTTCCCCCTCGCCCAGCAGCGCTCTTATTATTTCGCACGGCTCGTTGAGGGCGAGCAAGAGAAGTGCATGGCAAGTGGTAGAAATTATGTCAATATTTATTTAAATTCATTTCTTTCAACAAATGAAAATAAAAAAAATCAAACCGAAACGGTGAAATTTAATCGCGCGCGACTCTGAAAGCGATTTTTTGTTGGGCTTTTTGTTTGCTTTTCGAATACTTTTTGGGTGAAACCTCGACGCGGATTTAGTGCTAAATAAAGCGAAGTACCCACAGCTTCCGCCCCATTCCCGCCTCTGACAAGCTCTACCGTATTCCCCATCTTCAAGGTTCAAAAGACGTGAAAAGTAGGCGGAAGCAGAGAGTCGCCAGTGTTGGTCAGGACGAACTGCCTAATATGATGGGCAGCACTGTAAACATATTTCTTGTGTCAATATTGAGCTGTCTTTACGGATAGGGTGCAGAGAGAGAGAGAGAGAGGGGGGAAAAGAGGAAGAGACAGTTTAGCCACCTTCTCTATTCGATGCTTCTATCCATGTCGAGTTCCCCACCTCAGCCAACGCCTCTGACTAGCTAATCCTAATTGCAACAAACTCCAAAATCCAGAAGGCGTAAAGAAGAAAGAAGAAGACGAACAAACTTACCAACATATTCATTGTATTGGGTGGAAAGAGAGAGAGAGAGAGTGTTAATCCCCCTTCTGAATTCCATGGTTTAATCGAAGTCCAAGTCTCCGTCTCCATCTCAGCCTCCGCCTCAGCCAATCCCTCACCTTCCATCAACTCGATTGGCAGCACTGTCAACACATTTCCTCGTTTACGGATAGTGTGGAAAGGGGGCAGAGGAGCTGAATCAGCCCCCCTCTTAATTCCCTCCAACCTAATGCCAATTCTTCCACTCCACTCTCCCGTTGCAGTTCCAAGATGAGCCACGCTCTCGCCCGGTCGCTCCTTTTGCTGCTGCTGGCCAGCTCGGCGCTGCTTTCCGTGCAGGGGAAGACCGTGCATAGACGCACGGACAAGATCTCCGAGAACTTCAAGCAGCTCGATCTGCCGCCAGAGGAAATCGATCCCAATGTGGCGCCACCCGAGCCCGAGACGGAGTCCCAGAAGCCAACCAGCTCCGATCTACCAGCTCCGGCGGAGACTCCGGCTGCGTCCGCGGCGGATGCAATTGTGGATGAGAGCGCCAACGAAATTGCTAGCGTGGATGCGGCACCAGCTGCCGCCGCCGCCGCCGCAGCAGAGGTTACCACGGCAAAGCCAAAGCCAACGACAGCTCCTACAAAGCCGCAGGAGGATGCGGACAAGAATCCGATTAGCCGTTATTGCAAGTGCACGGAATCTCACTGCGACTGCTGCCGTAAGTTCGGGCTGCCGCTGCTGCCGAGCGGGCCCGGCTGTGCGAAGATCTCGTATCTGGGCAACGACGAGATGAGCGTCTCGCTCAAGTTTGGCGAGATCACGCTGGCCTCGCGGCGCATCTCCAGCAAGCGGGCGCGTCCCATTTGCGTGAGCATGCCCGGCGGCTACTCGAAGTTCTGCGGCCGGGTTTACGGCCTGTCCCGGGCCAAGGAGAACTTCAAGGCGTGCCTGGCCTTTGAGCTGCGCGCCGAGGACGAGGTGGAGGCGCAGCTGCCGATCTCCTGCTTCAAGTTCGGTGCCGAGGGACTGCGCGTCGCCGAGGCGGAACCGCTGCCCACCAAGGTCAAGCAGGAGGAGGACGACGACGACGACATCTTCGGCTTTGGCGGTAAGTGAATGAGCCCAGCATCTGATCCCAAACCCAATCCTAAACCCTATTCCAATCCCTTCCAGCTGGCGGCGACGATGACGAGGATGAGGATGAGGACGACTACGATGATGGCGATGGCGATGGCGATGCGGAGCCCTCGGCGGAGGATGACGACGCCGACGACTATGCGGAGGATGACGACACCGAGGCGCCCGAAGATGCCGACTACGGCGGCTTCAGCCTTGGCGGTCTGCTCGACGAGCTCGACGACGACGAGGACGACAAGCCCAGCAAGAAACCGGCCGTGGCCCCCAGCCCAGCACCCGATCAGACAACGCGCGAGCACGTCGAACCGGATGCCGCCCAGAGCAAGGATGAGGCAGGAACTCCAGCTGAAGCTGCTCCCGTGCCCGAGGAGGCGGCGGTGACTGCGGCGCCCGGCGTCGAGGCAACTACGGCCAAGGCCACCAAGTCCAAGAAGGCGAAAAAGAACAAGAACAAGAAGAAGAAGAAGAAGGCCGCCAATGATGCGGCCGTCGGTGGCGAGGGCGAGGGCGACTTCGCCTACGAGCTGCTCAACGGCATCCTGGATTTTTTCAACTGAGCGGCCAGCGCGAATTCGCCAACATGCTTGGCAACACTGTAAATACCTTCTAGCGATGACGTTGAGCCGCGTTTACGGACAGAGGGCGCAAAGAGAGAGAGCGAGAACGAGAGCGAGATCATGCCGAGGAGTTAGTTTGTAATTTTGCTAACTTATTTATTTATATAACATATATATACGTATTTATTCGAACCGTCTGGCAACATCGAACCCGAAATCATCCCAAATTGTTCTCATCAACAATTCATTTACTTTAAATTGATAACGAATTAAATAATGCTCAAAAATACGTACACATTTGTGTTCAAGACCATTTCGTTTCTTTTTCCTGTATTGCCTAGTGTTTCGATACTTATCGATATTATGAAAATCGATAGGCATAGTTCCTCGATACTGATCGATATTCTGAAAATCGATAGATCTCTTTAAAAATGGACTTGGACTATCTTCATATAGCACTCCACGGCCACCTTTTCTCTCTATGCACTTCGATACTTATCGATATTGTAAAAGTGGAGTTATCGATCAAATGAATTGATAAGCTCCCGCGTATGACCGTGTGCGACATCAAGCTCTTCGAGCTTCGAACTTAACTCTCAATGCACTCCAGACCTAGTCCAAGCTGGAGGCGGTAACATCCACACTTCGACTATAGTCGAATCAATCGATATTGTGCAAGTAGAGTTATCGATAAAAAGAATTGATAGGCTCCTACGTGACATCAAGCTGTTCACAAATCGACTTGGACTATTCACGGCGAGTTTGACTCTCTCTGCACTCTAGAGCAGTTCGGAGCAGGGGACGGCAGCTCTGACCTGTTCCCAGGGCAATGGCCGGAATGGGTAGGCGCTCCAAGTCCGGGCGCTGATTAAGTGCCGCACCATTTGTCAAAATGCCGCAGACGACGCCGAGGATGCGGCCAACTTTTAATTAGAAACTATGCGTGCTAGTTGCGAGTGATAAATCGCAGCTCCTTAACCAGCTTCTGCGCCTGCCCCAGCTTCTGCTCCTGCTCCTGCTTCTGCTCCTGCTCCTGCCCCACCCAACTGCCACGCCTTTAATTGGCTGCGCGTGAATGTGCCTTGATGCTGATATTTCCACTCGCCGGGCCAGCCACTTTTTTTCAGTCGGTATTCCAAAAATAGAACAAGTATTTGTTGCTTTGCTTTTTTTCTTTTATACTTTTTTTTGCATTTTCATACATATATAAATTTTTATTGAAACATTGAATAAGATACTTTTGTGTGTGTCTTCTTGTGTGTTTTTAAACTTTGCATCCAATTTGATTGAATGAACAAAAATGCCATATCCACTTTTATTTCACTTTATAATTTTTGTGCCCATGCAAATTCCGTCCGTTTCCGAGCTGTGGATCCCCATTTGGGTCGATCCCGAGACAATTTCCGAACATGTGTATGCCATTCCTTTAGCCAATGTACGATAAAAAAAAAAAACTCACATTCTACATGCATAGCCGAACTCTAAATATGCTTTCCAAGAAGGGAACTTATATGTGTGTGCGTGTGTGCGTGTGCGTGTGTGTGTGTGTGTGTGGTATATATGTATGCTTTTATAAAGTTCAAAAATGTGAGTTTCGGTTATCAATAATATTGTTCACATGTATCAAATTGTTGTACATCGGATAGTATATATTGTATATATTGTATTCGGTATGCTTATGGCCTATGCATACACTGCCAGGCCCCCCGCCTGGGCACAGTGGAAAAATTCGGATTCTTGCTGGTCTCCAAATACCCTTACAAAAGTAGCTAGACTAGACTAGACAACGGGTTGATCTCAAAAAGTGTGTACTCAAAATGGACAGGTGGTATATCATTTTTCACTCCAATCGATCAGATGTGTATATGTATATACTTCAATAGTAAACGGTACATTTTCCACGGTTTCTAAATAGTCAAGCGGCCGACAGGGTATCCATAGTGCGCATATACTCGAATATATTGGATTAATTAACATGTATACGTGTATATAATATATTTATGTAAGAGACACCGAAAAGGGCATTGTTAGCCCGCGCCTAGAGCGTAATTAGTTTTCAATATGGTATATATTTTTCGTTTTCGATTTCGAATTTCGATATTCGTAAAATTCTTTGCGTCAATTAACTTTCAATATGGTATATATGTATATTCGATTTTCGTTTTCGAAATTCGATTTTCATAAAATTCTTTGCGTAATTAAGTTTCAATATGGTATATATTTTCCGTTTTCGATTTCGAAATTCGATTCTCAAAAATTCTTAACATCAATTAACTTTCAATATGGTATATATATATTCGATTTTCCAATAATTATTTGCGTAATTAACTTTCAATATGGTATATATATTTTCGATTTCGAAAATCGTTTTTTCAAACATCCTTTGCGTAATTAACTTTTAATATGGTATATATTTTCGATTTTCGTTTTCGAAATTCGATTTTCAAAAATTCTTTGCGTCAGTTAAGCTTCAATATGGTATATATTTTTTCGATTTCGAAATTCGATTTTCAAAAAACCTTCGCGTATTTTAGTTTTAATATGATGTATGTATTTTTTCGGTTTTCGATTTTCGATTTTCGCTTTCGAAATTCGATTTTCAAAAAATTCTTTGTGTCAATTCGCACATACCGCACATTTGGGACCCCGACGCCATCTCATTCAAGGTGCTCATTTTTCTAGTTGCAAGTTTTGGAGTTGTTGTCAAAAGAACAAACACGAAACTTATGTTTAGTTATAACATTAAAGTTAGTATAAAGAGCAAAAATGTCAATCTCATAGTACGTTGTAGATATATATGTATATATAGAACATATATAATGCATGTATATAGATAAATGTGTATAATTCTAAATTGTATATATATATATATTTGTATATGTATTGGTTATCATATGTATCTCCGTTCACATATATATGTATATATAATTGTGTATATGTGTGTATGCATATGGAATCCCGTGGGAAATGGATTGGTGAAATGCGTCGGGGAAAGTTGGTTTATAGATGGAAACTCGTCGAAAAAGTTATACCAAAATCCAAGTTCTAGTTAGTTAGTGTGGGCTTTTAATCAGTCTCGATTTTGTAAAAAGTTCAGTAAAAAGTATGCAGGTGCGTGCGGGTCTTGACTATGTGCGTGCAAATGCAGGTGCATGTGTGCAGGTGTCCAGGTGTCCAGGTGTGCAGTTATGTTCTGTAGTCGTTAGTTCCTAACCCCAAATCCGTGCGCTATACAAAACAGCCAACATGGCCCCTATCCCCAGGCTTAATGATAAATTTGTGCCCTCTAAATACCCTTACAAAAAGCAATCCCATTGCATTCGCTGAGTCGTGTGGCTTCCTGATATGCTCTGTATGTGTGTGTGTGTGTGTGGCTTCTAGATATGTATGTGTGCGTGTATGTGCGTGTATATGTCCAGCTGTTGCAGCTCTCCATCTTTCGCTTGTCTCCTCTCTCTCTCTCTCTCTCACGCTCTTTGCACTGCTTCTCATGCGTGCTAATCGTGTGTGTGTGTGTGTGCGTGTCTGTGTGTGCCAGCTGTTGCAACTGTATTAGTCTATTCTCCATTTTTCGGTTGTCTCCGCAATTCTTTTCTTTTGCTGTTTGTGTGTGTGCGTGTATGTGTGTGTGTGTCTGTCCAGCTGTTGCAGCTGTATTAGTCTACTCTCAATTTTTCGGTTGTCTCCTCTCTACTTGGGCTTATTCACAGGCGTGTGTGTTTGTGTGGGCGTGTGTAGCTGTTGCAGCTGTATTAGTCTACTCTCCATCTTGCGGTTGTCCTCTACTCGCGCGCGCTAAGCGTTTCGCTTGCTTCGTTGTGCATTCAACCGGTTCACTTGACCGGTTCGCTTGACCGGTTCACTTATTGGCCATGTTTCTCAATTGTTGCAATTGATTCTCTCCTCCTCTGCTTCTTCATGTTTCGTGTGCGCTTTGCGACGGAGTTTCGCTCATTTGCTCAATAGCTTAAATTCCCTCTCTCCCTGTCTCCCTTTCTCGCTTGCTCGCTCTTTCCCTGTCTGTCTCTCTCTCTCTCTCGCTCACACGCAACTCCGAAGTGCTGCGTTGGATTTTGTTCTCCAATTCCGTTTACAGTTTTTTTTGTTGTTATTTTTTTTATGGCGCAGCTTTCAAACACACTTTGACAATTCTCTGGCAAATATTTTGCGACAAAAAACACTTCCTGCTCTCGCAGTTCTTATTGTATATGTATCTATATCGCAACTATATAGAATATAAAATCATGCACATACGAGAGCAATATTCTTTCCTCAGATTAGGCCTAATTAAAATATCAATTTTCGCTACTACCTCAAAAAACATACGATCGCAACCATCACACGTTGGGATATATATATGTACATATGTATATATAGATATTATCGCCTGTCAATCTTTTGCAGTTCTCTGTGGCGGCTTGGGGGGATACATACATACACATATGGAGTATCTTCTGCAATGTATGGCTATCTCTGGCCATGGTCACATATTATCTGCGATCACATTCCTCACATATGTATGTATGTATCTGGGCTTTATTTCAAACCCAACTCCCCGCTAAGCCAGCCTTCCTCCACTTGCCCCGCGTTCAGTTTGCGTCCAGTGTTGGGTTACCCCAGATGGTTTTGAATGTTATGCGTTTGATTGATTGATTGATGGATTGCGATGCAATGACGGTGATGTACACATATGCATGCATGTATGTCTGTGTCTGTTGGTGTCGCGCAGCCGCATATTCTCAACGTTGATTGAGAGTTAAAATATCGCAAAACAAAAGAAAAACAAAAACATGCAATCTGAATCGAAAGCATTGTGTGAAACTCTAGATATAGAAAATGGGCAATGTTTTTTTCTAAGACATCAAATAGTTTAAGCTGTGATATTTAATACTAACAAGTGGCAAGAGCAGGCTGCGAATAAGGTTTGGAACTGCTGAGGGCTGAGCTTGAGCCGGAACTGCGAATCGGTTTTAAGTTCACGAACTGAACCAGTTTCTGAAAAATGTTATATTTAAAGTTTTAATTTCAAAAATTTGTTTCGTTTGGCAAACCAAATTGGAAGCTAGATTTCAACTACGAATGGGGATTGATCGGGTCGAACCGGATCCGGTGGGAAACCTGTTTTAATGGAACGCGTCTGGTTCGAATCGTGAGCCAAACCGGGGAAAAGTTCGCAGCCCTGGCTGTACGTTCGAATTCCCCCATGTGACAGTTTCGTTGATCTTAATTTGGGCTCAACTCATTTACTGTGCCTGCTCTTGCCAGACCCTGTTATCCAGTTTCATATTTCCTAAATATAGCACAAAGAATTGTAAACGACATCTAATGCTTAAAGTAATTTTTGGCTAAATATTATGTTTGTTTTCTTCAACTATTATTATTTTGCTCATTAAGCAATTAATTATATCTTTTTAACTTTACTTAGTTGCTGCAAAAGTGTGTGGATGAGTGCCAGGCTCACCTTCCAAAAAGGATAAAAGACAAATTGGCTGCTCTCGCTAGGTCAGTCTGGTCTGACGCGCCTTTTGCCGAACTCCGTGCAGGGTATGCCGTAGTCGAGCAACTCGACTCGGTTTTGACCCAAAAACACACACAAACAAAAGAAGTTCGTCACCCGAAACCAATTCAAATCCAATTTCATAATACCTTTGTAGAGAATATGAATATATTCATTTGAAACCTATTCAAATCGGACGACTATATATATATATAAGTAGTTGTATAGGAAGAATCGAATCCAAATATATTATTTGTTTAACAATCTATTTCCATTTTAGCGAGAGCTATTAAAAAGGCTATGCAAATATTCTTTCGATATTCTTAGCAAAATCGGTCGAAATATGTCTTTTTATCTGAGAGAGTTTTCCATATCAATTAGAAAGCTGCATAATTCTTTGCCGTACTACAAGGGTATTGCATAGTCGGTGTGCCGAATATACTCGTTCGTTTTCTTTTGTTTAAACAAAAGCTGCCCAATAATTGAATGTTGTTAAATGCGAGCCAAGGTATACGCCGGGCTACTCGTATACCCTGTTTGCCCACCAAATGGGTCAATTTGGATAAAAATAAACAATAAATTAATGTAAATCAAAAATGTAAATAGAAAATAGAATAAAATCATATATAATGCTAAGCAATACAAAAATTTAAATACCAAACTGTTTGTTGTTGTTGCTGTTGTTGTTGTTGCTGTTGTTGTTGCTGCTATTGTTGTTGTTTTGCTGCTGTTGTTGTTGCTGCTGTTGTTGTTGACGGCGTTGCCAGACAGCCAGCCTATTTTCACATTGATTTTTAGTGTCCTTATCGTATATCGATAAATTTTTGGAATTTTTTTGTTTAATTTCATATGAAAATGTCTCAAAAAGTTTGAAAAATTATTGTCCGTTTTTTCTGTAGCTGGCAGCGGCAGCGCCGTCCCGCCGCGAATGGGACTTTCGTGAAGATTTGAACATATTGGGTTAATAAACTATCGATAGACTTATCGATTAATTTCAAACAAGAGAAACGATACGAAAACAGCAACATTTTTGGTTATTTGTATTTGGTCGAAACGTATTTTTACTTTAAATTGATTTGATTTATGACACAGCCAGAAGATGGGCCAAAACTATCGATAAACTAATCGATTAATTGCAAACCAGAGAAACGATACGATAACAACAGCAGCTATAATTTGTATAAAACATTTCCGGATATTTGTATTTGATTGAAACGGAGTTCAGATTTGATTTGATTTGATTTTTGTCACAGCCAATTGATGGGGCATAAATTATCGATAAACTAATCGATTAATTCAAACCAGAGAAACGATACGATAACAACAGCAGCTATAATTTTTATAAAACATTTCCGGATATTTGTATTTGGTTGAAACGGAGTTTAGATTTGATTTGATTTTTGTCACAGCCAATTGATGGGGCATAAATTATCGATAAACTAATCGATTAATTGCAAACCAGAGAAACGATACGATAACAACAGCAGCTATAATTTGTATAAAACATTTCCGGATATTTGTATTTGATTGAAACGGAGTTCAGATTTGATTTGATTTGATTTTTGTCACAGCCAATTGATGGGGCATAAATTATCGATAAACTAATCGATTAATTCAAACCAGAGAAACGATACGATAACAACAGCAGCTATAATTTTTATAAAACATTTCCGGATATTTGTATTTGGTTGAAACGGAGTTTAGATTTGATTTGATTTGATTTTTGCCACAGCCAATTGATGGGGCATAAATTATCGATAAACTAATCGATTAATTGTAAACCAGAGAAACGATACGAAAACAACAGCAACAATTCTTATCCAAAGTTTTCGGATATTTGTATTTGGTTGAAACGTGGTTTAGATTTGATTTGATTTGATTATTGTCAAAGCCAATCGATGGGGCATAAATTATCGATAAACTAATCGATTAATTGTAAACCAGAGAAACGATACGAAAACAACAGCAGTTGAAATTGTCATGCAACGAAACGGATTTTAGATTTGAATTGATTTGATTTATGACATAGGCAGAGGATGGGGCATAAAATATCGATAAACTTATCGATTAAAGGCAAACTAAAGAAACTATACGAAAACGGCGACTTTTTGATTTGTTTGAACTAACAGACAGCAGGTAAATATATTCCCTGTAGATTTCAGATTTTGTAATCAATCTGTAGGATTCGAATTTCGGCACGCCGAAAAGGACACAGAATCCTTGATGGTTCTATGCAAAATGCTCAATTTGATCAGTTGCCACTGTCAAAACGAACCAGCGAGTATATAGTATAGACATATATATGTATATAAATGTATAGACTTATCCTATTCTTAAAAAAAAAAAAAAAAAAACTATTCTATCTACCATGCGAATATTCTAGCTTAGCTTAATCTAATTAGTATTTAGATTAGTATTTTTTGTTTAGTCATATTAGCTTAACCTAGTATTTAGTATTTTTTGAAGTCATATTTAGGATATATACTTATTTGCGTGGCTAAGCCACATTCTGATTTTGATTTGACCCGGCTCCATCGTTGTTTCCTCCGATCTGCTCCAGCTGTCCCGCTCTATGGTTTGGTTCCCTCAATATACAATCAGTCTATACCTCAGTTGGACACTCACTTCTTTTAGATGACAAACAAATCGCTGCAGCTGGAGGAGTTGCGCCTCTTCAAGTTCCTCTTGAAGCGCAACACGGTGGCCAGAAAGATTCGCGTCCGAGTCGTCAGCTTGGTGACCACCTTTCGGTTGCAATCGGTGACCCCGTTAGAGTCATCATCGTCATCATCGTCATCAGCATCATCGTCGTCGACGTCGTCGTCGTCGTCGTCCTCGAAGTCGAGGACTCCATCGAGAGCTGCGCTCGAGTGGCGTCTAGCTGCTGCGGCTGCAGCGGCTGCCGCGGCCGCCGCCGAGGTGGATGGCCCATTCTCGTTGAAGTTGGACCGGGCTCGACGCTTGCGGATGCCCGCGGCCAGCTGCTCGAACTTGCTGAGTGCGCTGCCAGAGGCACGCGGTCGGTGCGAGTCGCTGCTGTCCTCATCGTCCAGCTCGCTCTCGCCCATCCGCAGGATGTTCTCCAGGTTGAGGGCGCGCCGGTTTGCCCGGCGCACCTGTTGGCTGCGCGCCGCAGCGGAGGTGCTCGGCTCCATGCCCAGATCCTCATCGCTGCCGTCGTCATCCTCGCTGCGGCACATGCTCATCTGGCGCACCATGCGTCGGGCCGGCAAATGCATGTGCCGATGATTCTGTATTGTGCTCTGCATATTGAGACGCTGCCGTTCCGAGTCGCTGAGCAGCCGGATGCGCTGCGGATTGAGCTTCACCTGGGCGACAATGCCCACCAGCAGCTCGTCCACGTTATGGTCCAGTCCCGAGGAGGTCTCAATGAATTTGCAGGCAATTTCCTTGGCCAGCTTGCGGCCGACTGGAAGAGCAGACATGTCGAGCCTGTCTCGGTTTTAGGTTAACGATTGCCACTCACCTTGACGCGATACCTCGCGATGACGCTCCAGGTCCGTCTTGTTGCCAACCAGAATGGCGCCGCGAGTCAAAAGCATGTCGTTCTCCTTCAGGTAGGTCAGCACCTTTTCGGCTGCCTTGAAGGTGCCCCGATCCACAACCGAATAGACCACCACAAACAGATCAATGTTGTATGTGGCGCAGAAAGCCTCAGTCTTCAGTTGGAGAACGATTACGTTAACGATTGGAATAAAGCAATAAAAGAAGTTAAGCCTACATCCAACTTTCATTTTTCTACCTATTCAAACTATTCAAGATTTCTTCATCGAACATCTCGTTTAGAAGCTTTATTCATATCATCTAAATACTCTTTTTATAGTCCTGTAATAGTTATTATAGTTATCTCATAACGAATGTAACGCTTGGATCGGGACATTTCCGACTTAATACTTTATACATAATTGAACAGCTTCTGAAGCCAAGTCAAGCCCTGTTTCTATGCTAAAAAGTGCCTCAGTTTTAAAGCTGTCCTCGTGACACTCTCGGATCGAGCGACTATATCATATGGATATAGAAACGATCGGTCGAAAGCGAATGTTTTTCCATTTTAAGCATTAAGTAGTACAATTAACTACTGCCCAGCTGGACACTTTCATTAATAGATGTTGACACTATTAAGCAGCCAAATGCGCTATTCAACACTTAAGCGGCAGTGCTCAACGTTTTGCTACACTGACGAGTCAGGTCGGATCGGACAACTACATTATATAGAAACTTTCGGTCGAAAGGGAAGTTTTTTCCTTAGAATTAGGTACAACACATATGTATATACTGCCTAGCTAGACATATTTATAAATAGATGTTGACACTATTTAGCTTTAAAATGCGCTATTCAACACTTAAGCGGCAGTCCTCAAAGTTTTCCTACACTATACGAGTCAGGTCGAGGTCTGTGGGACTGCGCGCAAAAGTAGGCAACAGAAATTGTCAATGCAATTTTGCGCCACACTTTGCGACAAAGCACACACACACACACACAAACACACACACGCACAGCATGTGAGCAGTGTGAAGAAAAGACGTTTACAACAATGCAATGTGCTTTGGCCTTTTAGCAGCTGCTAAAAAAGTGTTAATGACATTTGACAAAAGTGTCAGCCAACAACTCCCATACATGTGTGTGTGTGCGTGTGTGTGCGTGTGTGTGTGTGTGTGTGTGTCTAGAGAGAGAGAGAGCTCTTAGCACAGAAAGCGTCGATGTCTGACCCACTCAGCCTCAGCAGAGCTGGGCCGTTATACTCACCGACATCTCACAGGCCGGATGATCAATCATTTCCAGGTCCGTCTCAATGTTGTCGACCAGCACGGAGACCGTTTTCCGGCCGTAGTCATCATCTGTAGGGGTGGGGGGGAAAAGCAAACAGAGAGCAGCAAATTAGCGCACTTCAACTTCAAGTTTTCATCTCGAGTAGTTGCCGTGATTCGTTCCAGCTGAAGCACAACTTAATCGGATTAAAGTGCGCATACTCAATTTATTCTCATAATATTTCTGTGCATATATATTATATGCTATTTATTTTAGAAGTGCGTACTCGAGATTGTGCAATCAGTTCGGTTTAACAGAAGCCGCCACTCGAATCAGCTAATTTGGCGGAAACTGTACTCGAGTGTAGCTCATTACTGCACTATGCAACACTGCGCGTTGTCTCAGTGTTGTAATAGTATTTGAAGCTCGCAGCTCGCAGCTCGCTTATGAAAATCCACGACAAGTACGCAAATGAATGCATATGGATATTCACAATATCAAAACTCTTTAATGGCCAATTATGAATCGTCAAGCTGTGCGTCATTCGATTCGTACAGGTTGACTGCAAAGTCTTGCATTTATTTAGATGCCAATTGATTGAAAAAATCCTTTGCCCCATAGTCTCCACATTTTGTGCATATAATATATATTATTTTTTCTATAAGTGCGTACTCATCAAATTGTGCAATCAGTTCGGTTTAACAAAAAAATAAAATTGCACTCAAGTGTAGCTCATTACTGTACTCTGCAACACTGCGCGTTGTCTCGGTGTTGTAATAGTACTTGAAGCTCATTCACAATATACAAACTCTGTAATGGCCAATTGTGAATTGTCATGCAAAGTCTTGCATTTAATTAGATGGCAATTGATTGGAAAAAGCCTTTGCCCGGCTACTTAACACAAATTGAGTTAATTATGGAATTGGCCGGCCCAAAGGCGCATTAAAGCTAAATGCCAGCAATTAATATGCTCATCTATAGGAGCCCATTGTTATGCAGTTCATATTATTGGAATTCCGGAGAACAACTGTTCGCTTTCCGTGAAAGGACACTTCCATTGTCTGTTTGAAACCCCGTCGAGAGCCGCGGGGCACTTGCATGGCCAAATATGGTAAATGGTAAATAGTAAATGGAATCGATCAAAGCTGCAATGCGTCGGTTTTTCATTCCCTTTGTTTTTTTCCTATTGAAGCGGCATATGGAGCGGGGGTTGAGAGGCGGCAGGAGTGGAGTAGGGCGTGACCGCATAAAAAGCGCGTAATCAATGTGATTTCATTTTGCCAGGGGAGTTAAATGTCGCATACAACAACAACAACAAAAAAGGCGTCGTAAAGTGCTGCAATCAAGATATGTGCGAGTCACCCAGATCCTCTCCTCCACCTCCAGCTCCAACCCCGACGTCTCGCCCTACTCTTGCAACTCATAGACCACCCGCTGCAACAGATACTGCAGGTCCTTTGGGCCAAGCAATGCAGGACTCTTTCGATTGGAGTTTTTTTTTTAGCTGCCCTCCACTCCGCCCGATTTGCATGTCGCAAGCAATTTGCACAGAAATTGAATGGCAAACACTAAAACAGCATTTTGTTGGCGGCTCCTAAAAGCATGCTGCAATTCGTCTCTTTGTTATACCCTGTACTTAACGAAGCAGCAATGGGGTTCTGAGCTAGTACTGCAAAGATGTCTGAACTAACTGACCAATCGGAAAAGGTTTTGTGGCTTGCGCATCGGATTAGCTAGCGAGAGGTCGCCGGTTCAACTCAATTGTTTTCTTGTACTTATCGAAGGAGCAATTGGCATTTAAGCTAGTAGAGCTTAATTAGAAGGAGAAGGAGTATGGCTTAGTTATCTGAGCGATGGATTAGCTATCGAGAGGTCGCCGGTTCAACTCAGTTGTTGTCAAAGAAACAAACAAAAAGAAAGGCAATAGGAATGTAATCTTCAACATAAGTTTTACTCCATTCTGATCAGAACTAGCCTCTGGCTTATGTATCTGCAATTCGGATAAGCTAGCGAGAGGTCGCCGGTTCAACTCAATTGAAAAAAAAATCAATAGGAATAGCAATTAGAATGGAATTTTCAACATTATTTATATGCCAGGTAACTTCTTCTGATCTGATCTAGATATTAGATATTAAAGCTGCATTAAGCCCATTTCAACCCGAACATTCGTTGATGTCGACCGGATCAGAGAACTATATCTTAGGTCCTTATGAGCCAACTATTGGGAAATCGATTAATTGTTACCCCATTCAGAAAGAGTTTTTTTGTTGGGAGATATTACTTTTTGTAGGTTGTTTTTTTGCGTGTTTTGCGATTAGTCATGCAGCTGACAGGAGCTGGACTCGCAAACGGCAAAGTCATTCGAGTGCAATTACCAACCAATCCAGGGCAAATAATAAATCTAAGCTGATAATCTAAGCATGAAAGCATATGTGTGGAAATTTGTTGTGGGATGTGAATGGATAACAGCATAAGGGAAGAAAAAAACTGTGAACAGGTATCGGATATGTCGCTATTTAAAGAAATCAGATGTTCTCCTTACCGAAACTAATAAATATGAAACACAATGCTAATTTGCAAAACTCGCTGCAAACTCTCAGTTTCAACTGAAATGTCAAGGTTCATATATTTATCTACGTAAATGGATGCGTACAATGATGCCTTGACGCAGATGCTCGCAGCATTGATGTCATTTATATTCGCAGCGCGAGATATTATTGTGTATTGTAGGGGGGTGGGTGGGTGGTAGAATTCACATTCACATTCACATTTTTTCCTATATTTATTTTCGATTTTATTTTTTCGCGCAAACTCTTAAGACGTCAATGCAGCTTGCGCACACGTGCGCACACATGCGGACAAAGCACGCGGACAAACACGCGGACAAAACAGGTGGAGGGATACGCCCACTCAGACGCCCACGCCCACTCACAGTCCCCCCCCCCCCCCCCCCCCCCCCCCCCAAGCCCACTTACGCCCAGTTGAAACGACAGTTAGTCTATGTGCATTAGTGGTCAGACCCGAACATGCAATGGCGTGTCGCATGCAGGGTTAGAACCAGCGCCCTCTCGCTCGCTTGCGTGTCCGCCGCTGAACACAAAAACTGACATATTGCAGAAAGAATAAACGTGTAAAATGTAAAGAAGTTGACTCGAATCTAACCGATTACACAATGCTCTGTTCGGAGTTCAATAATGCCTCAAAAATTGCCTAAAATTAGATAGCTTCTAAAACTGTAAGCAGTGGCTTTCCAACTGTGAATGAGAATCTGCACAAAGTTGGCAAAATTTCGACAAGTTCATAAGCTTTGGGCCTAACAAATTGCCTAAAATAAGATAGCTTCTAAAACTGTAAGCAGTGGCTTTCCAACTGTGACTAGAAAGTTGTCAAGTCCAGCTACAGCTTCTGTAATAAGCTGAGGATTTCCCAAGCTGTGGCCACCTTTTGAGCTGTGCTTTTCTAGGGTATATTTAGCGTTCCAAAAGAACCACAACAAACGAACCGTAACCACGCCCTTTTACATTCAGAGAGCAGGGCAAACAAGAAAAATAGACAAAAATACGCTAATGCTGGTGCTGCATAAGCTGCAGCTCTTCATTGGAACTGAAGCGAACGGCATTTGATGTGACAGCCAAAACGTAATTCCACTCGGACTTGGACACTTGGGCTACGGGCGAAGGTTGAGCATCGAGTGGTGTATTCAGGTTGTGGCGTCTTAATTAATGGTTAGTTCTCCAAATGGATTTAATTGAAAGCTGGTGCAAGCTAATAAACTGCAGAAAGTTGAAATAATTTCCAAGCTTCACGAACACATGGAACCCAATCAAGTTTGGGGCAGAAGCTAAATGAATACATTTCGGCAACTTTTCTACAGCGACAAATACATTTGCCATTTCTTGGAAAAAAACAAGGTGCGAGGCCGACTGAATTTGCATATACCCTGTACTCAGATAGCTTCAATTTAACTAAGCCGAATTATGCTGGGAAATATTCCTGGTCTGAGGGCCAGGCCTCGCTTCCATACAAAATCCAAAATCTGAAAAATTCCTGCGAAGGATATGCGAGAGCCTTTTGTCATTTTGGCAAAGAGCGCCTATTGCCTATGTCCTCTGACGAATTCGATTCGACTATCCGAATATTCCCACAAAAATATTCCTGCTCAAAAATCTAGCCTACAAATCGATTTCAATGGAAAAATTTGAGTAACCAGGAAAAAATCGGAAAAATTCTTGCGAAGGATATGAAAACAGGCAATGCCTGTAGTCATACGAGGCTTTTTTTGCGAAAAACCTAGCCAACGAATCGACAACACTCGATTTCAAAGGAATAATTCGAGTAATCAGGAAAAAATCTGCAAAATTCTTGTATACGAGATATACGAGAGCCTTTTTGACTGAGAATTGAGACAGGAGATGCGTGCCTATACCTTTACGCAGACGAATTCAATACGAGTTGACAAAACAAAATTCCTTTATTCAAAAATCTAGCCTACAAATCAACATCACTCGATTTCAATGGAAAAATTTGAGTAACCAGGAAAATATCTGTAAAATTCTCGCGAAAGATATGGAAACAGGAGACGCCTGGCTCTGCCTTCACTCCGACGAATTCAATTCGAATTTTCAAATATTCCCAAAACAAAATTCCTTTATACAAAAATCTAGCCTACGAACCGATATGAATCAAAGGAATTGTTCGCGTAACCAGGAAAAAATCTGAAAAACTATAGGGTATAATATACGACGGCCTTTTGCCTTTGCCTTTGACCTAGAATGGACACAGAAGATGCCTGCTTCTGCCTTTCTTCAATCCTATTTTCCTTGAGTACAGGGTATTATGAAAACAACACCCGAGCAGCATCTCAGCAACTGTCGCATTTGCAGCTTGTTCAGTTTATGTGCGTTAAACGTACACCAACAATAGTCCCTGGTGCTCGTTGGCACACACTCACACACACACACACATACACACACGCTCAGACAAAATGCAAGCAGGACAATAAACGTTGCGTGTGGCATAAAGTTGCTTTGTTGCTGCAGCTGCAGCAGCTACTGCTGTTGCCTCTTTGACTCAAGTGCTAATTAAAAGTTTGGAAGGGGTTGGGGGATTTCATTCTTGGCCCGGCTGCATGCCGCATGCTGTTGAGGCTTTGGCTCGGGGCCAACAATGCGGCTGGCAACATTTGCGACGTGCAAAAATTTCGCATGCCCCAGTGCCATTTGCAGCTCCCAGCCATGTTCACGTCCAGGCTCCAGTCCCTTTATTCCTTCAGTCATATATCATTCGGTGGGCGCCCCCAGTTTCCCCCAGGACGGACTGGACGGACAGGACGGACACGCAGTGTGCGTATCCCTTGCATGCACTTCCGACATGTTGGGCGGGCTTTTAGGTCAGGTCAGGCCCACGCCAGGACACGTGTGCGTGGTGCATGCATTAGCCAAGTGCCGGCGACTAACTAATTGCAGTCAAGCGCTGAGCAAAGCCAACTAATCAGCTTAATAAAAAACAAAAAAAAAAAAGGAGAAAAAACACAGCTAAACCAAATATATAAAAGCGCTTGTCCCGACTGAGGGTTGCGATTTCTTTTGTGGCCTCAAAAGAGCGCAGGGCCTTTGACAGCAAAAAGAAAAGCTGGACAAAGTTGTGGACAAAGAGGCAGGTTGCCAGTTCGAGTCCAGTGTGCCTAATTAGTTATTACGCAGTTAGACATACGAATAAAAAAAAATAAAAAAAAAACATAAATGGGTAGCTGACAAATATAATTGAAGCTCTATTAAATTAAAGCTCATGTATCTCGTTTGGATAGTCAACTAAAAAAGCTTCCCATACCTAAGTCTAGAAAGTCTGGGAATCGAAATCCCGTAAGAACAGGACAGAAATTCATATCTGAAGGCTTCAAGCCGCAACGGAAACAGAAATGGGAAGCGGACAATCATAATTAAAGTTCCTCCTTATATCTTGTTTGGATAGTCATCCACAAAGCTACCTATATGTATTTCTTGGAGGTCTAGCAAAGTCTAGGGATGCCTAGATGCCCGTGAACACGGAACAGGAATTCATATCTGAAGGCTTCAAGCCGCAACGGAAACAGAAATGGAAAGCGAACAATCATAACTAAAGCTTTTCTTGTTTCTTGTTTAAATAGTTAACCACAAGGCTTCTATACGATATATATATCTATATGTATATCTGAAAGCCTCAGTCCGTATTATGTTTAAGTCCGGACTGGACTTTAAAGGCCGAGAGTCCTTGTCTGCGAACTGCGCAATTTGTTGCCCGGTTAGTCGGTCAGCAATGAAGCATGTTTTTATTCCACATCTATTTATAATTGAATGTAATCCTTTTTAATAATGGGTCGCAAATGGCTGAAACTGTTTTTAAGCGGTTTCCGGTCCGGATGGTATTAACAGTCCAGCCCAGCTTAAGTAGCTATCGCTGGCACGAGCATTACCTGACCTAATCCCCACCCCCTCTGGGCGTTGCAAAGTTGGCCAAGTTAATGAAATTAGCAGCGAGACGCTTTTCATATTTTATGAGTTTGCGGCGCAATTAAAATGCAAATGCGTCTGATTAAAAGCCACAGAACCAACCCGAACCCGAACCCAAACCCGAACCCGAGGACCCCAAACCAAATTCAAAGCCAAAGCCAGATCCAGGTCCAAGTTCATTCTGGGAACACGCAAAGCTCTGGGATTAGACAAAATGCTGCCTTTTGACACGTGCCACTTACCCAGACTCAAATCGTAGGCGCATATGTAGTCCGAGGTTGTGAACTGATATGTTAACGTTGTCTTGCCCACGCCGGATCCGCCTAGCATGGCGATTTTATATGCCGGAATCTCCACCTCAGCCGCCTGGCTAGTCGCCTTTGGCGGCTGCGACGTCGACGCCGACTGCGACGTCGACGGCTGCTGCTGCTGCTGCTGTTGCTGCCGTTGCTGCTGTTGCTGCTGCTGTTGCTGCTGCTGCTGCTGCTGTTGGTTGTAGGCCTGTTGCTGCGGAGCGTGCGAATGGTCGCCCTCGGCAATGTCGCCCGAGGCATTGCTACACATGAAAAGCAGACAAGAACAAATAATTAAAAGCCTATAATCAATAATTTACAAATCCAATAAGGTTAAAGGCAAGGCCAGGACTCGAAAAATTCACTCAACTGCCATCAATCTTGCTGACAAGCGAGCGTGTGTCCGACTAGAAGATACCCTCGTACATTCAGTCACAAAACAACATTAATTTCCTCTTTTTCTGCCAGTCCCATACTTTGTCTTGATGGACTTTATTTATTATCAGAACTTAATATGGCATACAGCTGTTTGTATATGCCCGACCTCTAGAATTCTCTGCCTTTATAATCTCTCAGTATCGATATTTATCGATCTTATGAAAATGAAGGAAGTTATCGGTAAGCACTTAATTCGATTGCGAGCGTAAGTATCTCAATGTATAGATATAGAGACGGAAGGAAGATCTGGCATGACTATATAAGCTGATTCCAAATTATCGATTTTTATCGATCCTATGAAAATGGAGGGAGTTATCGGAAAACTCTTAATTTGAAATTGAGATACAAAAACGAAAAGAAGAACTGACATAACTAGCGTTTATAATCTTTGAGCTAGGAAATAACCTCTTGATATCGATATTTATCGATCTTATGAAAATTATCGGTAAACTCGTTCTTATGTATCTCGAAATTGAGATAAAAAGACGTAAAGCCAGAACTAACATGACTTTATATCAACTAATTCTGATCAAGAATATATATAGTCTCTGGAAATGCTTGCTTCCTTTATTCACTGTGCGAATCGGTTAAGTATACGCCCAGTTATTCCCGTGCATGTATTTATGGACAGATATGTTGTTAATACCGTCAGACATTTGATGCGAAGGTATTTATTGTTGTCGGAGATGTCCGCCTATTTAAGGAATTTGATTTTACGATTTTATTGGCACTGGCTGACAATAATAACAAACGGGCAGAGACGAGATGACAACGGCGGGGCCGTGTAATAACAATAATAAGCAGGGGTAGGAGAAATGAAAATGATAAAATGTTCAGGTGGGCGGTGAGCAACAATAAAAGCGAAGAATTCCTTTGTGAATGCAACACGAAGTCCACGCGCACAAAAAGCAGGAAAACCGTCTCTGCTGTTGTTTTGTGTGGTGCAAAATGTATGAAATTAGTAAGTGTGTGTGTGTGTGTGTGTTTGTGTGTGTGTGTGTGAGTGTGCTTGTCATTGTTGTCGCTGCCTATGAACTTTGGCCTGCGCCGCTTTATTGTCATTTTATAAACAATTTATTGCAGCGACTCTCTGAATAACTGAATGCCTAACATTTCGCACTCGCATTCACACTCACATTCACACTCACATTCACACTCGCACTCAGAATCCCCCCTTACCTGTTGTGACGATCCGCAGCGCTGTGGGAGTTGCCGGTGCCCGCCGATGTCACCGAATTGATCGAACGTGACCTGCGACTGCTGTTGTGGGAAAAAAAAAAGGAAAACAAGCAGAGAAATTGAATTAACCAAATAATCAATTATGTGTGTGTGTGTGTGCCTGCCACGCCCACTTACCGTAAAGAATCGCCCAGATTGCAAACGCCATGCGAGGTTATGCTAAAGCTGCGCAAACGATAATAGTCCACATCCGCATCCGGGCCACAGTGAATAGCCGACCGACGCGTCTCGGCCAATCGCGGCTGCACAACATCCAACACATCCAACACATCCAACACATGCAACAAAAGCCGATTATAAGACATATTCGACGGACTCTGCCGTGATTGCATTAGCAGCACACAAAAAAACTATACCAAACTAACAGGTACTGCTTTCAGATTCGCTCAAAATCAGTCGAACTTAAAACTAGCCGGAAATTCAACCGAAAAACAAAGAATTCTCGAACATGAGCTGGAGTAGTCTAGTCGACCTTACTCTTGGATTTCAATGGGATTTCAGCGAGTCAAAGTTAGTTATCGTTGATGGGAGCTAGACCAGATAAAAGGACCCGTGTCCAGCCTTGCGTACACACTTCAATAAATCAAATTGAATTCAATTATTAATAGCAACAATACGCCTATTCATTTGGTTCGAGTGTAGTCAGAGTGCTGTCCCTTTTGGGACGCATGTAGTTGGGGCTTTGTTATGGCACGAAATACATTCGTATCGAGGAGTTGGCCAGCGGAAGGAACGCGCCACAAGGGCGTCATTAGCAAGTGCTTATGTCTAATCCACCTGGCCTGAACATTATTACTCATTAGGTTTTTACGGCTCTTAGACATAGTTGCGCACTTAAACCCTTTGCATTGCCTGTGAACCCGAGCAGTCGATTTTGGGCTATTTTGAGAGTTCGAACCAGCAAAAAGACAACAGATATTACACTAAAACGAGATGAGAATAATAATGAAGAGCTGGATATACTTGAGTTCTGCCCGTAAGCGTCTTAAAACTCGGTCGATGATGGTTACAAATTTTCGCAAAACTCGATAAATATCGATTTCCAGCTTTGGTTGACTTTTAAGACCATACTCGACTAAGGATACAGCTTGAATTTTGTATATTTAGTTACAGGGCGTTTGTCAGGCAACTATATTGCTTGGCGAAATTAACAATTCAGTCAACTGTGAGCAAATGTAGTGCATGCTGCCAAATATGAAAGGAACAAATGGGATACGAAAAGGCGCGATCGCTAGAGCTGGAACTGGAGTCGGCAGAGTGGATTACTAATGGTGCGTCGTTAGGGCAACTTGTGAGCCAACCATTTGGCAATGACTAGGCAACTGTCAACTGTCTCGCATCGTCTCGGCTTTCAGTGCGGTATTTTGCCCGCTTTGAAGCGGGCCAAATGAGGCCGAGCAGGTGCTATCGAGATACACTCAAGAAATATGTATCTATATATATATATATATATATATATATATATATATGTGTGTGTGTGTGTGCACTAGTTCGCTTGAATTTATGCTAGGACTATGGCAACAACTAGACTATGGCCCAAGCCCCACACATCATTATTCGGCTGCGACTTCCTGTTGCTCAACAATCCACAACGAGGGACTGACATTCATTGTGGGTGTGCGCACTCCCACACACACACACACACACACACACCACCTCCTAGGAGGAAGGGCTTGTTTATCTGGTATGCAATTATCTGGTCGCTGCAGCTAATGTAATTAGTTTGTGAAATTGCTCGGGTGAAAATTGTGCAGCGCGTGCGTCGCGTCGCGTGTGAGGCTGAAAAAACTGCAGCCGGCGCACAAAAGTAGGCAACACAAAATGCAAATACAGCAGCTGCGCCACAGGAGTGCGAAGGGACCGAGGCCGACATGGCACCATGGGGAATTTTACATGTTTTTGCAGCAAAAAAAAAAATTAATAACTCAAAGATTAGGGTAGCTCTCGAAGGGTGGCGAACTTTTAAATCCCTTCGGGTGCGTTTGCTTTGGAAAAAGTCGTGAACACAAATTGATGTCGTGATCGAAAGAGCTAATTACATATTGTATGTGACAGCTGTTATCTGTTCTTGACAGCTGTTATCTTAACATGATTAGTTTATGTTAACATTTTATGCCTTTAACATTAAAGTTTGATGTGTTGAAGAGCTGTTCTTTTAACAGGATAGAGGTCTGTTAACATTGCATGCACGTAACAACAAGGTTTAATGTATTTAAGAGCTGTTATCTTCAAAGGATCGAGTTTCGTTAACATTTTATGCATTTAACATTAAGTTAGTTAACATTTTATGAATGTAAGTTTGATGTGTTTGATGTGCTTTACAGGTACAGTTATCTTAACAGAACCGGGTAACAGCATTTACGTCAAGTAAAATTTACTTAAATCAAGAGTTTTTCATTTAAAAAATTAAAAAAAAAAATTCGTTTATTGCCAGCAAAACGGAACCGACTTCCCATGGTAAATGCAGCAGCATCTGGGGTGTTAGTGTGGGTGAATTGTGTTGGAAGAATGGGCAACAGGGGTAACTGGGACATTGACCTGCCAGCGCGGGGGACAGGCAGGCATAAAGGCAGGCTGCCACCTTTCAACTTTCTAGTTGACATTTTTGGGCAGAACATCAGTATTGATTTGTATGCACATATGAAATTCGGTGGCTGCAACAAAATTTATGCAACACTTTCCATTGAAACTGACAACTGGCAAATGGCAGCCGGGCAGACGACAAACGACAGCTGGGACCGTAGTTTGTGTGTCCCTGGCCGCAAAATTTTCGGTGGGGGCCCCCAAAAAGGAATCAATGGCAAACACGTAGCGAGCGAATGCCGCTGGCAGCCCGGCGAGTGCCATATAAATTGCACAAGTTGAAGCCAGAAGAATGTCAAGCAGGTGTGTGTGGCACTCCGGTAAAAAAGGACTGTGGCACTGGCTGCAAAAACTTGTCTACTGCAACGATCTGCCCGGCGCCCGAGGTCCTAAGCCGTGCGGCTGCACTGCACCCTGGAGGCGTCTCACTTTTGTGCATACAAGAATGCGGAATTCTCAATTGAGGCTGGGCACACGCAAGGGCAACGAGAAGCAGCCGGGTTTGAATGCGTGATTCGGTTTGGGTTAAAAATCTTATACCCTGCACCCATTCAAAAGGGGTCGAATGTTTTTTGTTTAAGCGTATGTGACAGGCAGGAGAAAGTGTTTTCGAGTTTATAACTATTTCTCGATATATTTTCCCATTTTCGGAATATCGATAAATATCGATTTTAAAACGGGAAAAAGAAGCAAAGAAGAAGAAGAAAGTGCAGCAATTTAACTACAGTTAGGTACAGGGTACATCATAGTCGGGCACTCCCAACTTTAGTTATTTTTTATTTCTTTTTTGGCAATAAGTTGAAGTGAATCCAAGTGCAAACAGCCAGAGAAATCCCCAGGAAATGTTATGTTCAGATACGTGTGTGTGTGTGTGTGTGTGCGTGAGTGTGTGCTCTTTGGGATTAACAAGATAGACAAGTATGTTCCTTAGTACTTTTGTGGCTTGTTCCCTGGAGCTTTGTGTGTCGCAAAATAAAACAGAAGGCGACATTCTCGTCGAAAATGCCGCAGGAACTCGTTCTGCGCCCACTAAATCTAGCGATAATCCCTTAAAAGTGGCAGAACTGTGATGTAATTAAGGAATTACTTAATTACTTATCACAAGTTGGTAATTGAAGTGATTGGGTAAGAGAGGTAACTGAACGGACAGTTAGGATCATTTAATAATAGTTAGTGATTGAGTAATTGAATTAAGTTGAGTAATTGGTAGAGTAATTAAAGTAATTAAGCGTGATAAGGAATAGCTTAATTGGGCAAGAGAGGTAACTGAACGGACAGTCAGAGTGATTTAAAAAATTTTGATAGTAATTAAAGTAATTAAGCGCGATAAGGAATTACTAAATTACAAGTTGGTAATTGAAGAGGTACGGCAAGAAATGTCATTGAACGGATAGTCAAAATCATTAATAACTGTTGGTTATTTGGATAATCAAATTGAGTAATTGCGAGAGTAATAAAAGTAATTAAGCGTGGATTATTCAGCATCTAATCTCTAGATGCCCTTACCTTACGACCCTCTGCTGGCATGCTGGAGGTTCTCAGACGCTGGCGTTCCGCCATGCGGTTGCCATACTGGACAGCCGCAAAGTTTGCGGAACTGCCATGAGCTGCCAGTTGTTGTGCTGTGGCGCCGGCTCCAGCTGAAGGTCCGGCTGCAGATTCTCCGACGCCCCGTTCTCGGTGCTGGCTGCTGTGTTGTTGTTGTTGCTGTTGTTGCTGTTGTTGTTGTTGTTGCTGTGAAATCTTTGCTTTTGGCAAAGATGAGCCCAGGAAGTCGCTGGAATCGGCTGTCGGAGAGTCGGTGGCATCGGGTCCACTGGTTGTTGTGTCCTCGGCGACAGCCGCCAGCGCGCTGCTGGAGCCCAACAGGCATTTGTCCAGCTCATTGACTGGCAACTGCCCGTTGGACGCGACTCCTCCTCCTCCTCCTCCTACGGCTCCGGCTGCTGCATATTGTGGCGACACTGCGCCTGACATTGCCTGCTGGAAGGTGAGCACGGTGCAGCTCTCAATGCCGCCACGCCCGAGCGGCGATTTGGCTAGGCAGGCGCGCTCCCTGTAATTAGAAAGCACAGCGCACATAGTCGACGACCCACCACGGTTGATAGTCGATGGCCGGACAGTTGATGGTTTATAGTAAATTGCGTTTGCATTCAAAATCGGGTTGGCAGAACTCGCCGGTTATGCAGCTCATTCAATATGCGATCGCATTGCGTGCAATTAACTAAAATCGCGTGTAAGCAGGCTAGCAGGGAGTAGGTGCTACATGTGCTACGTGGTTCGATCTAAAACTACATGATGTCCGTAACGTTTCGGCCTTTGCTGACCAACAATTCAACTAGCTGACTGCATTTCATTGATTTGCCAACATTTAAATAGCTTTCTAAAAGCATATTTCATGAACTTTCAGTATGAATAACAAATTTTTCCGGGCTTTTGAATGTTTCTTATCGTTTCACAATTTTACAGCCAATCATACCGATAGGAATAATCGGTAATTGAATCGATTAAGGCAATCGCTAATCGATTGAAATTTTTTTTAATTTTCATAAAACGTGTAAGTAGACACAACTCTACAGCCGGGCATATCGATCTTACGAAGATCGATATCAAATTAAGTATTCTCCATATTTTTAAGTTGGGTAATCTATAGGATATTTAAAATTGATTTTTTCCATAATAAGAATTCTTTGTGAAAAAATATAATAGAGACACAACTTAAAGGCCTATTAAATCGTTAAAACCAATCGATAATTCGAGCATATCGATCCCCTTGAAAATTTCACAAACAACGATATCGAATAACGTATTCCATAATTGAAATTGAGTAACCGATAGAATATTAAAAATCAATTTTTTGCGAAAAAAAGTAGAATACACACACAACGTTAAGGCCAATTAAATCGATAGAGAAACTATGGATTTGTGCATATCGATCCCCTTTAAATTATAACGAACAGCGACATCGATTAAATCGATAGATTATTAAAAATTAATTTTTTCGATAACAAGAATTCTTTGCGAAAAAATATAATACAGACACAACTTTAAGGCCAATTGAATCGATAGAGAAGCAATCGATAATTTGGTGAAATCATTTCCGTTTCAAATGTTAAGAATCGAGAAATCGATTAGAATAATTTTGAAAATTATGCACTAGATTTGTATACAAAGAATTCTTTGCCAAAAATACATGTAATACGAACACAGCTCGAATGCCAAATTCATTGTGAGTAGCAATCGATGAGAGGTTGCTTCGCATTTCTGTGCTTTGAAATGTTGAACGGATTTTCGCAGCCAAACTTTGGAGGCGTTCACAAATTGTTGTACATCTGTCGATATGGTTGTGGTTGTGCTTGTAAGCGTGATCGTGGGCGTGATCGTGGACGTGGGCGTGGTCGTGATCATGGCTGTAGCTATATAGTTGTGGTAATTGTTGTTGTTGTAGTCGTTGTTATTGGTGTTTACATTGCCAATGTTTCGGCTGGGCTGTCGGTAAACTTAGTTGTGGAACTCTGAATGGGGATATGGGTAATATATGCGGTCTAATTTTGGGAATGGTGCAAATATGAATATACCATATCGTGCTCCTACCTGTTACTGTTACTGTGACCGCCACGCTGCTGATCCTCGGCACCGGCGATACTGTTGCGACCGTGGCCGGGATCGGCATGCAGCAGCATGCTGTTGGCCGCAATCGTTGAGGAGCGACGTCTATTTAAAATGGGCGACATCTGTGCTCGCGTGCTCGGCTACAAGTTTATAGATTGGTTGTTAGGATAGGAGGAGTTGCCGGCATTAGGTGCTCGCAAGGGGCTGGCGCTGCTTACACGACTAGAGCCTGGAGCCAGGCCCGGTCCCGGCGGTCCTGAACCGGCCATTGCATTCAGATAGTCCCCATAGCTACTGCGTGTTGCTTGCGTCGATGTGCTCGGCTCGTCGGTCCATTCCTGCTCCTGCTCCTGCTCTAGCTCCCACTCCCGTTCCCGCTCCCGTTCCCAATTATATGGCATATTATAGCCAGCTGCCAGATGTTGCTGCTGTGGCTGCTGCACATTATAGCCGTAGGCGGGCATGGAGCTGGTGCTGGAGCCGCTCGCTGCATTGCCGTACAAATTGCCGTGACTGCCCATGCCGCTCTGCTGCTGGACGCGCTGCAGCGCCGACTCCCGCGTATGGTAGGCGCCCAATCCCCCATGTGTCGGCGGCGTCGGCAGTAGCCGATGTACGTGCCCATGTCCCGATGTACCTGGATGCTGCGGCATTATCTGCTGCGAATGCTGTGGAAGCTGCGGAAGCTGGGAATACGGCGGAGGCTGCGGGAGCTGGGAATGCTGCGGGAGCGGGGAATACTGCTGTGGCTGCATTGGGTGCATCTGCTGTTGATGCTGCAGATGTTGCTGCTGCAGATGATGCTGCTGAAGATGTTGCTGCTGCAGATGCTGCTGCTGCAGATGCTGCTGCTGCAGATGCTGCTGCTGCAGATGCTGCTGCTGCAAATGCTGCTGCTGGAGATGCTGCTGCGGCATAAGCTGCTGCTGTTGGTGCGGCTGCGGCTGCTTCAGTATGGGCTTGAGCACATTGTAGGCCAGCTGATGCGGGGCCGGCGAGGGCACAGGCCCTGGCGTGCTGGAGCTGGGTATATCGCTCTCGTCACAGCTGGTGTCTGCAATTGACAAAATCGATATTTATACCAACTGCCTGAGCAAATGTGTCTTTATATAAATATTTATAATCGCGAGCACACCCCGGCCTTACCTGTGGCACGTATAAAATGTCTACCTCTATATATAAAACTGTTTATCTTGATTGACTGACTGATTGACTAACTGATTGACTGATTGACTGGCTGATCAACGCATTTATTTGAGGGGTGTTTCACACTGTCTCGGTAGAAATACGATTCAAGGACATTTAAGGCAAAGTTTTAAGTTTGCATATACAACATATGTATGCCTGTTTGTACATACATGTATGCATGTTTGTTTTATATGTATACAAGCATGCATGCATGCGTACAGGTATGAATACATGTCCGGATACCAATATATATGTACACATATACATACGCATACATACATGAATACATACATACATACATACATACATGCATACATGCATACATGCATACATGCATACATGCATACATGCATACATGCATACATACATACATACATACATACATACATACATACATACATACATACATACATACATACATACATACATACATACATACATACATACATGCATACATACATGCATGCATACATACATACAAAAAGAACACAAAAAAAAATACAAAAAAGGCACAACTCAACTGGCTTAGCATGAAAAAGTGCAGAGCCTACTTGAGTTCTTGAGAATCGAGGAGTAGAGCACTTGGTAGAAATTCGTTTTAGTTAAATTTGCAGCACAGCGACAAAGAAGCTTCATCTGCGTTTGGTATTAGAAAACGAACAAGCATGCACACATACATAAACTAACACACACACGCCCAAGCTCACACACACACATTCATACACACACACGCACATTCACATATATACATATATATGTAACTCTTTACGGCTTCGTACAAATTTTTACATGTATTTTGACCTGAGTTAATGTTGTCCGATTTAGATACCAAATTGATCTAGAGGCCAAGCCATGAAAAAGGAGCAAAACCTCGAAAAAATCTGATTAGATTTGTCCAAGTTATGGGTGTGAGAAATTTCGACCTACATATGTCTGTTTTAGGATATTTGAGGGTACTATTTAGAAACTATATATGTATCGCATTCTTGATTGACCTCGGTGTTTATAGTTTAATCTATTCGGAATTCAAAAGAAAAGTGCTTTTATGACTCTAAGTTTGTCTTTTCTTTGGGCAAAGTTTCCAATAAGAGAAACACTTTTGACATGTGCATGCTATACGAGAGCCTAAGCATCAAGTTTCTTGAATCTAGCTTTTATTACATTCGAAATATATTTTGATATTATGAGAATAAGGAGGAGGTATCGGCCAAAATAACAAGCTCATTTGGCGTATGATATATGAAAATATCCATTTGAAATTCCATTTAACTAGTTTTTGTTGTTGGACATTGTCAAATTGACTTAACTCCTTGTACTTATCAGGCATATATATATAGTATACTTAATTTTTTATTCAACAGAATGTAACACAATTTACCCAATTTTAATTGGTTTAGAGTTTAAAAAGGTGAAGCTACTTTCAATTTGAGGCTTGAAAGCAGCCTTGATTTAAATTATCTGACACGTCCGACAATAAATAACATTGGATATTAGGACTAAAGATATTCTATCTATGCTCTATCAAAGAGTTCGAATTGAAACTGTCTTAAACAGAGTTAACATATGACAGCTTTCGGGAAGACAAATACCATGTGTCACACACACACACACACACACACCCACATAGACAGTCGACCAGTTGAAGGAAGAAGACCTCAAAAATGTGGCCAACAACTGCGGCTAACTGTGCTACACTCAAAAAAATAATAATAATCAATTTGTTACATTTTAAAAATTGCCAAAAATGCCGCGAATATTTCTAAGAATTTCCTTTCTAGTCTTTTTTTTTCCAAGCAGTAAACTAAATTTAGAACAATTTTAAACATGTTCTTGAATTGTGGAAAACAAACTTTTTTTTGAGTGTATTCATGGCCTTTGGGCCCAGTTATTGGCCAGCGGGCAGCCTGACAGTTTTGTGCATGTTGTGGGCGTTGCGTTGTCCCAAAATGTGCAGATACACCTGAAATACACACACACACACGCACACACGCACACCGACACACTGACTGGCACACACACACACACACACATGCGGATTCCATGTGAGCTTCTTTTTGAGAAATATGTTTGCCAAGTTGAAGTCAAAGTCAAATATGAGAATGTGTTCAGTCGAAAACTTTGCTGCCTTCATTTTTCAAAGGCTTTATTGCGAGGTCTGTTTACGGCACAACTCAGCCTGTAAACAAAACGTTTTTGTATACCCTGTACATATTGCAAAAAAACAAGGCGAGCATATAATGTTTCGAAATAAGAAATTTTTCATTCCAGAAGCTATCTAGATTGAGTGTAAAGTTATTTTTTGAACTTAAAGCATCATTTTTTATAGGGTAGCTACTAGTCAAACACTTTGGGTGGACACAAAATCGCATTTAGCATAGGGTATCTGCTGATCAAACACTTTGGGTGGACACAAAATTGAAAGCATAACTTTGTACGGGGTATCTGCTAGTCAAACACTTTGGCTAGACACCAAATTTAATAATCTTAGAGCTTTGAACGAGAAAACCAGCTAAAGAAATAACATCAAAAACAAGACAAGATAGCCAAGTTTTTTTGCAGCTAGCAACTGCCGAATACCCTTACCAACATTATTTATTCAATTATTTGCTTTCGCCATAAAACTCGCTCAAAATGTATATTTTATTTTAATCTTGTAACTCTTAAACGATTTGATCCCATTTTAATAACACTTGGCTTGTTTATAAAAAATTCGTATCGGATGGAACGGGTGAATCGTTTTCACTTATGGGCTCGAAAATGCCCGTGTTACATATTGATTGACAATCGCAGAATACCATTTATTTATTTATGTATTTACGATTAAATTTTTGGGCAGCCCCAGAGACTGGCGGCACTGTTAAAGTGTCTGAGGAAAACAAATTTCTAAAATACAAATTTTATCACATAACAAATAGGGGATATATTTGAAATAAGTGCAAGTGCCCGACTAGGAGATACCTTAGAATTCAGCACCAAACACCGAGCTGCTGTTGTGTTCAGCTTTTATTCTAGCTTCCTTCTAAGTGTGAGTGCTCTAGTCGGGTATACTCGACTAGGGGATACTCTGGTACTGAGCTGCTGTTGGAATTAGCTTTTATTCTATCTTGGCATAATATGGCATACCAAAGTGCATATATACTGAGGCCCCAGGCTATGGTGCCCAGAACAGGAGGTTCTTTTTGGTTTTTTTTTTTTTTTTGGAACGGGAGAAGATACACAAGAAGTGCTTTATTTCAAATCGGAGAACTTACACGCCAAATTGTGTGTCCCTAGCTCTTAAATTTCGAGCTAGAATCAAAAATGGGATGTCGTAATCGATTATTATCGTTATCGTGCAGCGTATCGATCTATCGATGAAATATCGATTATTATTAATAGACACTTCAAGTGTCTAGTTCTTAAAGGTTCCATTAGTACTCATTAGTCATTAGTCATTAGTCATTGGGTATGCGAACAGGGTGTGCCCCGTTCGAGCATGCCCAATTGAATATGTCTTTTGTCGTTTCGTCGAGGCCTTGGTAAATGTGATTTTAATGTACTCATCATTTCATAACTGTCAAAGGCATTGCTGGGCTTTCACTTTGAGAGCCTGTCGCATATTATGTGCATTAACTAAGCATGTTCTGTCCATTATTTAACTTTTGATTGGATTCTAGATTATTCGAACAGTTCTGGACAGGCATCACAGCTTCGTGCAAGCCCTTTTTACAAATGCAAATTCCATAATTACAGTTAATACAATTAATTTGATTCCAGCTGAAAGGTAATTGATTTATGCTCAAAAGTATATCTCCCGTATTCTGTACATTTCAACATAATATAATTAAAAAGCTTATTGGGCCATCTACACGAAATTACGTGGATTTAATGATCTGTTCATTTTTCCTAATAGCAATTGATGTTTTTCTCGTCTCCCTTTTGATCCGATTACGCGATGCTTAAGTTCGATGTCAGCCCGGAATTCGCCCACGTAGCCATGGCCCATTCCGAAGGTTCTTTTGATACCCCGTGAAAATGGACTAGAAAGTGTATAATGTTGTGTTTTTTTTTTTTTTTTTTTTTTTGAGTACATGTTTCATGTTACATGTAGGAACAACCGGCTGAGTCGAAAAAAAATTATGTTTTCTATTCGATTACTTAAAATTCTATAAAAATCGATAACTATCGATTATCAGACTATATTTCTTAAGCATATATTGAAGGCTATTGCAGCGGCTAGCAGCATATTTTGTAAGCAGGCAAATTTATGTTTTCTATTCGATAACTAAACATTCCGTTAAAATCGATAACTATCGATGTTCAGACTAGCAAATCTTGGAAACTAAATTTCGGTAGGCGGTTTATCGTCTTACTAGCCACAGCTGAAGTTCAATTTTGGATTGGCCTGGAAACAGGGTATCTCCTGGTCGAGCTCGAGCTTCTTACTTATGTTTCGTTTTGCCATTTGGCCGGTTACATTGTTGGAAGTTGTTTGGGGCCGGTTTTAATCGCGGCCAAAAAAAGGTTCAGTTTGGGTTTAGCTCTTGGCTGGGCTGTTGCAGCCCTTTAATGTTTGTTGTCGTTTCTTGTTATTTGGCGGTTTTTTGTTCGCTCTTCATTTGGCACTTTTTTAAGTTGATGTTTAACTTTCGTTTTGGGCCCAGTTTCCCGTGTGTGTGTGTGCTCGCTTTTATTTCATTCAACAGAATATGTGTATATATAAAAACTTAATGCGCATTATGGTTTTTTGATGGGCATCAAGACGGGCGCCATTTTCTGTTAACGAGCACTCCTCAAAGCTCGGCAAACACGAATTGCCAAAAAAAAAAAAAAACATGAACTGTTTATTCACCTGCGTGTGCGTGTGTGTGTGTGTGCATATTGGTGTGTTTTAATTGAAATATGGATATGGCATCACGCGCACCTGACCTGCCTTTAGTTCCATGCAAAGAATCCGCTCAAGCGATGCTTCCTAACCATTATATGTATATACATAGAGATGTGTGTGTGTTGGTGTGTGTGTGTAGGTGTGTGTGTGCGAGTGCTTTACTCGTAAAGTGAGTGTGTGCCCTGGTCTGTTTGGTAGGTTGTCCTGCACCAAGCCGCAAAGTTGTGGCTGCATGTCGCGCACGTCATAATCATAGTCATACACACACACACACACCAACACACACACCAACACACACACGCACCCACACACACTTACACACACACACACACTCACACGCACATTGAACAATATAAAAATACACACCACATGTGCCTCTAAGCTGGAACGTGGCCAAACACGAAGGCATCGCAACGGGGGCTTATCCACTAGGCGAAAAAAAAAGGCAGCCGCTGCCTAATTAGCCCTAAGCCCTGCAAAAGGCAACACAATGCAATAAAAAAATGTCGGTTGCAGCTGGAATAGCCCCTTCACGTGGGGTCCTAACTAGCTTCTAATCCCTGAAAGCGCAATCGTGCAACAATATCAAACTGACCCTCATCATATCTCGCTTTTAGTCTCTATTTATAGCACTCATTATAGCTTCCCTGTTTTACCTCTCTCCCTCCCTTCCTCTCTCTCTTTTCACTTAAGGCTAACAAGGCTTACAAATTGTCGTTTGTCTCTTCAATAATATAAAAACAGACCCATTAAATATCTAGCGAGTACACTTAATTTTTATCTCTCTGTCGCCATTCTTTGCTGTCTTGGCTCTTTTTTCTATCTCTCTCTTTCTCTTCTGTCTCTCTTTTTCCACTTCTCTCTCTTCTTCCCCTTCTCTCTCACTCTTCTCTTTCTCCCTCTCTTTCCTTGTTCTTACTCTTACCTTCTTTTCTCTCACATTCTCACTTTCATACCTTCTGTCTCTCTTTAACGCTCTTAAACGTCGCCTTTCTATGCGATTTTCACAAGTTGTCTTAAGTTAATATTCAAACGGACCCTCTCTCTCTCTCCACTCCCTCCTCTCTCTTCCTCCTTCCTACTCTTATCTTTTTTCCTCATTCTCTCATTTTCATAGCTACTGTCTCAATTTAACTTAGTTACACCTTCTGTCTGCATCTCACTGCCGCTTTTAGGTCTTTTTCTATATTATATATAAAGTCATCCAAGAGGATGCTCATCAATTAGTAGGTCAGTTTATTTATAGAGCTATATCATTATATCAAGAGTAACTTTTTAATCAATCATAGTTAATAAATGAAACCTCTGATTTTGTATACTTTCTTGGACACTTATCAAAATCAAAAGCCCGCTCAAGGGTGATTTGTCTACCGCTCTTAAATATCGCCTTTCTATGCGATTTTCACAAAATCAAAGTCCATTCTTTTTGGTCATGTGTATGCTATATCATTATCTATATATCTATCCAAGAGGATGCTCATCAATCAATCGGTATGTCAGTCAGTCAGGACAGACCCTTTTTTTGTGGAGATATTGTCAAAAGTAAAGTAGTTTTGGGCACTTACCAAAATCAAAGGCCCGCTCGAGGATGATCGAGTGGCGCGGCGGCTGTCGATCTCTGGCGCCGTCGGACAAGCGTCGAGGTATGATAAAGTTGCTCGCCAAACGGCCGACATTGTTGTCCTCCCCGTCGGGGCCGAGACGCAAGTGTTGCAGCTGCTGCTGCATGTCAACTTCGAGATTCTGTTGATGTTGCTGGTGTTGCAGCTGTTGCTGCTGCATTTGTTGCTGTTGTAATTGTTGCTGTTGCTGCTGTTGCAGTTGCTGCTGCTGCAGCTGCTGCTGCTGCAGCTGCTGCTGTTGCAGTTGCTGCTGCTGCAGCTGTTGCTGCTGCAGCTGTTGCTGTTGCATTTGTTGCTGTTGCATTTGTTGCTGTTGCATTTGTTGCTGTTGCATTTGCTGCTGTTGCATTTGTTGCTGTTGCATTTGTTGCTGCTGCTGCAGTGGCTGTTGAGATAGATTGGCGTTAGTTGGGTCCAGGCTACATTCCTGCTGGACATCCGAGCCCAGGTGTGTCGACGACCTGCGCTCGGAAGAGTGTGGCTGCGAATGGGTGCAGAGACCGTGGCTGCAATTGTGCAGCGAGCCGCTGCAGCTGCGGCACCTATGGTGACGACGATGATGATGATGACTGTGGACGTGATGCACTGGCTCGTCGTCTACATTGATTAGGCTGCTGCTGCTGCTCGAGCAGCTGGTGGAGCCAAGTCCACAGAAACCGACGCGATTAATGCCGGTTGCGCTAGAGCTCAGAGAGCTGCGACGCGCACGATTCAAGCGATAAGAAGCGGAACGACCCCCGGTGTATTCCATGAACCGATGACCATTTCCAGGGCTGACAACAGACGATGACTGACCGTCAGCCATGGTCATGGTCATCGTTAATGTCATGTCACCACTGCTGCCGCTACGGCTGCGGGGAGGTCCCCCCTGTAAAAGAATCTGTTGTCGACGCTGCGATGGCGCCTGCTGAAAATGTGAATTGGAACGGCCAACATGGTGGCTGCGCAGGCTGCCGCCGCAGCGTTGCCGCTGGGCATTCATTGTAATACTGTTGCGTGGAATTACCTGGAAGATGCCATGGCAAAATGGAAAAGAAGCAAATTTCAGTAAGATTTGCAAATGCAAGACGCGTTGCGACATCGATTTTGACACAACGAGCGGGGGCAGGGGGGGCGGGGCGGGGTTTGTGCAGGAATTGAGAGGTCTCAGAGGCTAGGCTATACCTTATCCTCCAGCAGATTGGCAAAGAGTTCGCAGTGATCCTCATCTTCATTCATCAATTCAAAGAAATTCTTAAACGTATCCGGAAACGAAGCCGGAAATTGGCTCTGGCCCTGGCCACGCGCATCCATTTTGGTATCCATTTTCTTTATTTTTTTTATTGTCTCGTAGAACTAAACCACGTAACATGCAATAGAAGACGTACATCAAGTAATTAGAGCTAAGAGCAGGCAACACGACGAGCGCAAAACAAAAAGTAAAGCCAAACGAAATGAAGAACTTAAAAGAACTTAATGGAGAAAAGTGTGTATGAAGTTTTAAGCGGAAGTCGCCAAAGTGTGTTCAAGTGTGTGCCTGTATTAGTGTGTGTGTCTTGGGTGTCTAAGTGTGTGTGTGTGAGTGTGTGTGTGTGTGTGTAGGGGTGTAGGTGTGCGCTGACTTAACAATTACGACGCTCAACTGTTGAATGGCTTAAGAATTCGAACAATAAGTTCTTCCCGTCTCTAGAAACAACTGTCAAATTGATTAAAGTCAACAAGTTCAACTCTGCAAGACACTCGACTGCCAGATACCCTGTATTTAACATAGACTAGAGGAAAGTATCTATGCATTCATCTTGGGGGTTCGATCCGTCTAACTTGTGCTGTGTGCCAGCTTAATAGTTGCTTTTAAACCGGCGATTAAAGGTAACAAGTTCAACTCTGTAAGACACTCGACTGCCAGATACCCTGTATTTAACATAGACTAGATAAAATTGAAAGCAATTTTCTGTGTGTCAGCTTTATAGTTCACAATATAAAAAAAGGAACGTTGAACCGGCGATTAAAACCGAGAAAGTTCAACTCGGAAGGAGTTTTTAACATCAACTGAAGGAAATTGCCAGCAAGCTTCATTCATCTTTCACCTTGTCTTCATGTGGATTCGAACTAAACTTTGTGCTGTCTCCCAGCTTTCAAAAATTACGAATTGCTTTTGAACCGGCGACCTGCCGCTCGTTAATACAACGACTGAACACCTAAACCATGCAGGCTCATTCTTAACAAAAACTTGGACTAATCGCAGATCGAATTTTCCAAAACCTCAGTTAAAAGTAAACCAAAATGTGCTTTGAAATTAATTTGGCCTCTTTGTGCCCAATTTTGTATAAAATAATTGTATTTATTTAATTGCAATCATTTTTGAGAGCCTGAACTCATTAAAAATGGACAAAAAAGGGTCAAATGATTTTGGGCAAATTTATGTTAAGCCACAAAGTAAATATATTCTTGATAAGGTCGACGAGCTGGCTCGATAAATTCCGGTTCGTCCGGCTGTACGGCTATCCGTCTGTCTGTATGTATTGATGTTAGTCTAGGGTATCTTCTAGTCCGGCACTGCCGACTGCAGCACTCTAACTTGATTGCGCCCATGCCATAAGTGCAACAACAACAACACAACTGGAACAAAAGCGCGCCGAGCATTTTGTATACACCGCGTGTCAAATGGAGGAGGGCGGCTAGTCTGGAGGCTGGGCAAGGATTGCGGAGCTGGAGGGCTGGAAGCTTTGCGTGTTTTGCGCGTTGAGTTCTTTCCGAGCGGCTAAATTTGAAAAGTTGCCACGCCGCTGGCCATTCAGAGCGCGACTCAGTGACCGTCTGGCACTTGGCCAGGCTCCAACCAAGAGACTCCCAAGCCCGACCCACTCGATCTGCCCAGCCCAGTTCAGCCCATCCTCACCTCGAAAGTTGAAAAGTTATTTTAATGGCGGTTTTTGGTCGAGGAATCTACACTCAACTTTTATGCAGTGCAAATGGACGGGCTGCGGTTTTTTTGGCTGTCAACGAAGCGCCCGACCAAAGTTTTTGAAAATCGGCTGCGGAACGAAACTCGAGCCACCCGCCAACAACTGAGAACTGTGAGCTGCGAACTAAGCACTAGAAGTTATGGGACTTGTCAAGCTTTTTGAGATGTTGTCGTCAAAGCATCGATGCCAGGTTGAAGGTCGCTGGTTCAAGCATCACAGCTGAGCGCAGCTGAATCAAGTACACAATTAATGAATTAAAATTCAAATTAATTGAATTTTATATTCGTGCCGGAGTATGCACAACTATCAAATACCCTCCAACAAGAACATGACACGAATATAAGCTAGAAATAAGAGATCAAATAGCAAAAGCTACGAATATTTTAGAGAAGTTATCTAAAGATTTATTCCAAATAGGAGTCATAAGTTTTGACAAGAAAAGGTCTAAATTTCAGATTTGAAATAGTTGGAAAATGCTTTAATTTTTTTTAACGATTTTTTAAGTCTACGTCAAATGGGCGGAAGCTTTAAGTGCAACTTTTTTCTATTCTATTTCTTTTTGACACAAAGGTTTAAGTTTTGATCTTGTGCAAATACATTTTCAGCATTTTATTTAAGCTAGAAACTAAACGAAAATATCAGCAGCAGAAAGGAGTAAGACGCAGCTATCCACAGTCAAGAGACAAAAGCTTTGCCTTTGGATGGGCAGAGGGACGGACGGATGGATAGGCAGACAGACGGACAGACGGACAGACGGAGGGACAGACGGACGGACGGACAGACGGACGGAGTAATTGTCAGAGTGTCAGACAGCCGCAACCGCAAATTCAATTCCAAGCTCAAATTTATTTTTGTATTTTGAAATTAATTTTGGGTTTTGGTTTTGGTTTTGGTCCTCGGCTCGTTCCCCGTTTTGTGCAATGCACTTGGCCCGTCTGGCAATCCGTCGATACACGGGCAATAAAGTTGCAGCCTTTGTCGATTGCTCGAACGGAGGCCAAAGGTCAACGGCCCGCAAAAAGTAAAAAAGAACTACAAAAATTGAAATATAAAAAATGATGCGCACTAATTTTGCGATGTTGCAAATTTGCCGCCAATTTGCAGTAACTTTTTCCGGCGGGCCAATTTAAAAGGCGTTGCCGGAAGTTTTTACAAGTGCTCCGTATGTGTGTAGGTGTGTGTGTGTGTGTGTGTGTGTGTGTGTGTGTGTGTGTGTGTGGGTGTGTGAAGCGCATAGCGAAACATTCGCTGGCTCTCGACAGTTGGCGAATGATGTCAAGTGTGAGTGCTCCGCTTTTGGTCCTGGCCCAAGCTTATTAAAAAACAAAAAGCAAAAAAAAAATACAAAATACAAAACGTTACCGGACGCTTTGTGGGCGTGGCAACGCTCGAGGGGCAGCTGTTCGGGGGGGGGGGGGGGGGGGGGGGGGGGGGGGGGGGGCATAATATGCCAGAGACCATGGGAACGGTTCGCAAAGTGTTTTAAGCGTTTAGCGCGGAGCTCGAAGGGAGGAGCAGGCGTGCCACGTCCACCCAACCTGCACACCCCCCCCCCCTCCGCCCTCTACCCGTACTCCTTCTACACACACACCATCTCTCATCCACGTCTAACCTCAATTGCCATGTCAAGTCTGGGCGAGAAGCGTCTAAAAAGCTATGCGCAAATTTTCTCATTTATGTCTAATATTTAATTAGCGGTTATTAAGAGCAGCAGCAGAAAGGGGGGAGGTATGGGGGGCGGTGGGTTGAGGGCGAGAGGCTATATCCAATAGATATGCCCCAGCTCTTTCCATTGAGTTGAGACATGCAAACTTTTTATTAAAGCCAAATGGAAAAAGGCAAAAAACAACTTGGCCCATTTTATAAGAAGTGCAGCTCATTGCTTTCTATGATCCACAAACACACACATACACTCACACACACACAGGCACACACTCACACTCACACATACTTGCGCATTGAATTATGAACATGCCCAAATAAGTAGGCAACAAATAAATGAACCACAGACAGCCTGCAGCGGCTGAAGGGCAACCACTCGACAAGCAACTGCCTGACTTGCAGTTACCCTGTGCTCGGCAAGAAATAGACCCCGCCTGCTTTGAGAAACAGCGTGCTCTTCAAGACAGCGCCTGACTAGCAGCTACCCTGTATTCAGCTATGGTTAGTTATAGAGACCGCCTGCTTGACAAACCTCAAACCATATATCTTTATGCACTTTTATAGGGTATTCTGCTATTGGCATGCACCGTAGGAACTGGCCGCATTAGCATATATTCCCTATATTCTCTGTCAAAAGCAACTCAAGCCTCAAATGCCTTCCTGTCTGTCGCCCATTTGGAACCGGACGTATCTCTCATAGTAACGATCCGCAACTGTTTCTTACATATGCTAAAACATCAGACTCTTTGACCCATTGCCAATAGCTGCAGGGTATGTAAAAAGCTGTGCGAGGGCAAGAATAGAAATAAGAATAAGAAGTAGCTGCCACTGCAGCTGGAGGTTAAGTACAAGGGTCTTCGCACGGGGTCCTCGCCATGCATCTCATTGCATGCGGCATGCGGCACGAGGCATGCTGGACGGGGCATGTGGCAAGACAAACGAATGGTGAGCCAAGAAACGAATGAACAGTCATAACAAGCAATTGCAGGCCAATGCCAAAAGTGACTGTGAATAAGACAAGCACTCAAGCTCATGTTCACATAAGCACCTGAACCATTCACAGCAACTAAGTGACATGAACTTAATCAACACTCACTTGTAAATATTAATATCTAAACTTTCAGCAACTTCTATTTGGGCTTAAAATTAGCTGATGTGTCTGAGCGTTGAACTAGCAAGCCAAAAAGTCGCCAGTTCAACTCAAGAGTTTAAAGAATAAGAAATTGAAAACAAACAAAAATGTGTATTCTTAACTCAATTTGAGAATGCCTCGACATTCATTATACAAATGAAGAAAAGCGTCGAACCAATAAGCGAAAAGTCGCTGGTTCAACTCAAGCAACAATTGCCAATTTTAAGCAAAAAGTTATACTGAAAACATTATAAATTAAAAACAAACAAATTGTTAAATAATTGGAAGTCGGTCGAGATATCGCCAGCTCAACTCCAGCAGAATTTGCTAATTTTCAACAAAGAGCTGTACTGAAAGCATAATAAATAAGAAAACAAACAAAAATTGTTAAATAAATGGAAGTCCCGAGTGGAAGTTCCACGCTTAATATATTTTAACTCAACCTAACAATGCGTCGACATTGAATATGCTCCTAATATTTCGTTACCATGAGAACAATTATTTATTATGGAAATATGTCGCACAAGTGCATTTAATCCAAGTCACAACAAAGACAAGGTTATTTCTCCCTATTAGCTCCCAGATTCAAGGTTTTG